GTTGTTGTTGTTGTTGTTGTTGTTGTTGTTGTTGTTGTTGTTGTTGTTGTTGTTGTTGTTGTTGTTGTTGTTGTTGTTGTTGTTGTTGTTGTTGAGAAAGACACTGTCTCTCTGTCTCATTAAGAATCATGTTTAGTGATTCATCCATCCGTACACCTTTCGCATGTCTGGCGCTGAACAGTGCATTCTCTCCACTTGGCATCGGTCAGATCATTTTCCCCGTAGTGATAGTCCCACGTTAAAGGTGACAAAAGACGTAAAACAATGCCTCATTCCTCAATCGAAATGAATTGAATAGATGGATGGCTGGGTAAGCGTGAGTGGAAGCGAGTTTGGCCGAGGGTCCCCTGTTAACAAGAATCAAAAAATGGGCTAAACTCGAGCTGCAAGGCGGCTATGGCATCTGCTGGGTCTTTGTGCATGAAAACATTGTTGATGTCTTCGAACCAGTTGGCGAAAGGAAGTTCCTGCAAGCCATCCAGGAGTTCTTCAGGGCTGGCGGGTTCAGTACTCGCACGCTCTGTCTCCTCTGCAGGCTCGATTTCTTCGTTCTCGGCGTTCATAGACGGGGCATCTTGACTTGTTCCACCCTGATCACTCGGTTCGCACTCCGTAAAAGCTGATTCCTTCCCGTCGCCATCAGCAAATTTGTCCCATCCAGCTCGAATGCTGTCGTCGCTCGTGCATGTAGACGATGTGTGGTTCTCCGCCTTGGCGGCCAGTGGTCGGGGGACCCCACCGTCATTGCCCTTGGAGGGGGCGTCCGCCTCGGATGCTCCTTCATCCTTCGCGGTGGCAGTCTCGTACTCTCCAGAGGGAGACTCGTTGTCCTGACAAGAATTGTCACGCCCTGCAAACAACCGGGCAAAATCCCTCACCTTCCGCTTTTCCTTTTCTGTAAGTGGAGGATGCCACTGGCGCATGTTGACCACCGGTATATCTGTCCTCTTACGAGGGTCCACGGCCTTCCATTTGTAGTGGAGACAGTTCTTGGCCTGGTCACCGAGATTGTCTTTCTTCCAGGTTTCACTGTCGGTGTCCTCTATCTTCACTTCTTGGCCAACTTTCATCCAACGGCAATCGCCGGGCAGACATTTGTGTTGCTCGATTTTGGCGAGGAGGCTGGGATCGATGTGGCCGCACAATCTGACAAGGGACAAATTCGGGGCATTGAACCTGGTGATGCTCTTAGAGGGAAGTGTTTGGGGCCAGATGTCTGCCAGCTTTGAATTTTCCTGTCGAATGGTGTTGATGATAGCCTCAACATCGCGGCCGCCCCCAATTTCGTCGCAGTAGTTATGGTTTAGAGGTATAGCGATGAGCTCCAAGTCCGGTCCGCCGAACATTGAGGCGCAAGGAGTTATGGCGCTGGAGGTTTCCAGGGCAGCAGCGGAAATTCTGCACGAGCCGTGGATTTTGACGTTGATCTCACGCAGACCTGGCATCTTGTCAATCAACGCTCTGATGGCAGGAACAAAGCCCCAAGCCGGTCCGCATTCACAGAGAAGGTCGATGGCTGACAGACAGATGTTGAATTTCTGGTTCCATTGTGTGAGGGCATCATTGAGATCCTCCCACTCGATCCTGAACTTGTTCCGCTGGTAAAGGACAAGAGAGGCCTCTTGATAGAATTTCTTTGCCACTAGGAGTGCATGGACGGGGAGTGCAGGTTCGCAATTGAAGAGACGCGTGACGGGATAGTCCCGCCAGTGTTTAAACTTGCCCTTGCGGTCGTCCTCAAAAGCGAGGTGGACGGTCCGGGGGAAACAGTAAAGTTGTTCGTAGATTTCCACGCGTACTTCGGCTGGAATGTCAAAGAATGAAAGGTTTGCAGGCGCACATATCGTCGAGGTTTCCGGAGGATTTGTGGCCGCAGCACCTGGGCCTTTACCAGAAGAGGATGCCATGGAAACAAGGGACACAAGGCTGAAGGCGCTGAGAGGGAGTAGCGGCCACTCTGTCAATTGTCCACCTAGAGACGCTGTCGCAGACTCCAGTGAGCAAGTTTGAGGTGAGTTGAAGAAAGAAGAATTTTTTTTTTCCCCAGCTCGGCGAGAGTGAAGTTGCAATGTCGATGGCTATGGGAAGTGAAGTTAAGCACAATGAATGGGCATGGCCCTTAGTGCGCCTTGTGCCAGACGCCAAGCAGAGGCATAGTTGCTCTGGGCTCTAGCGAAGTTTTCATCTGAACTGTGACATGGAGATCCAATTTGACTCTGTGGATGCAGCAAATTCGTTTGGTGTTTGCCATCTGTGCTTGGGAACGAGGCCACAGAGCGAAGGAGAAGCCGAGTCCGGGAGAATCGATGGACGCCTCAATTCTTGAGCTGCATGGCTCGAAACCTGTAAGGCGGTAGATAGATCATGCAGGTAGCTATACCTATAAATATATGAACCAGGTCCACGATTAGATGGCTGTATATCCCAAGGATAAAGCGCCGGCTTCTTCATCGCTGGTCGAGATCAACGGCAGCATGGTAGTGTGGTGGGGGTGTGCCGTGCTGGTGGTGTTGGTCGTGCCGTGCCGGCGTGCTGCGTTCCTGCGTGGCTAATATCCGCCGTATGATATTTTGCTCCGCCGTAGACTAACAGCCCTTTGCTGCCCCTTTGCAGCCCTTTCTTGCCCTTTCACATTCACACCCCAAGAGAGTAGTCCTTGACATCATGACATTCTCTGGGCTGCAGGAAGCGTCTCGGGTAATCTCGCTCCGTTGCTTTTCAATGTCTCTCTACTTGGTACATACGAGATACTTGTACTTGTAGGTGGTGAGCGAGCATCAATCGTGGAGGCCTGTTGTAGGGCGTATTAACCCATCCACTTGGTTGAATCACAGCAGCGGCCCCCAGGCTAACTCCTGTGCTCCTGCTGTTCGCCAACTGCATAACCTTCGATCGCCACCATCTATAGAACCCCCTTTCCCTCCCGCGTCTTCGGCGGCGTCGCAGGCCTCCCAGTGCTTTGCTGTGTGAGTGTTATTGACACAACCATGTCAAAGGATGTCTCGACAGCTGCCTCAGGGGTACGCAGAGTCACGCGAAGCAATACTTCTGCTGCAGCGAGGGGAGGAAAGGGTACACAGGGCAAGAAGAAGGAACAACATCAACACGACATGGTCATCAAGCAAGAGGAGGGTCCCCCTGGGAAAAAGCGGCCTTTATCATATCCCGACGAGGAGACACCGGGCAGAAAGAGACTGAAGGAGGAAGACACCAGTCTTAGCAACCCAACCACGTCTGCTAGGAAGAAATCCCAGCCGAAGAAGTCGGGGTCATCAGATCTGAAGACGAAGAAACTCAAGTCGTATGCTCAGTTTGCCAATCAATCTCCATTCCCCAACTTTCATCGTCCTACAGTCGAAGAATGCAAGCTCGCCCACCGAATCCTAGCTTCCCTCCACGGTCCTCGGATACGCCCCAAAGAAGTCGTCGCCTCCACTACTCGAGCGGGATGTGGTGACTCCCCCAATGTTCTCGACGCTCTGGTCCGCACTATTCTCTCTCAAAATACGAGCGACGTCAACTCGACGCGGGCCAAGAAGAGCATGGATAAGGTGTACGGAGGTAGCGATAAGTGGGACGCCATTGTTGCTGGAGGTGAAGGCAAACTTCAAGAAGCCATCAAATGCGGCGGACTCAGCGCGGTTAAGAGCAAAGTCATCGTCGGCATTTTGAAGCAGTCGTACGAGAAGTATGGCAAGTATTCCCTAGACCATTTACATTATGCGTCCAGTGAAGAGGCCATGCAAGAGATGTTATCCTTCCAGGGAGTTGGACCTAAGACAGCTAGCTGTGTCTTGCTCTTCTGTCTCCAGCGCGAGAGCTTTGCAGTGGACACGCATGTCTGGCGCATTACGGGATTGTTGGGGTGGCGACCCAAGAACGCCACGAGAGATGAGACACACGCGCATTTGGACGTCATGATCCCAGACGAGGATAAGTACGGGTTGCACATATTACTTGTCACGCACGGGAAGAAGTGTGAGGAATGTCGAGCTGGAGGGAAGAACCTAGGCCAATGCGAACTGCGAAAGGCCTTCCGCCAGAAGAAGATGCAGGGCGAGGCAGGAGAAGAGGCGCAGCAAGAGGAGATGGAGAAAGTCAAGAAAGAAGACGAGGACTGACGAGGGGCCCTCTTCATGATGTGTCTAAATTTGTTAGGATTGATTACTCGGTAGTTGTGCCGCAAATGAAGTGTACTTGTCTGACTGGCGCGAGGCTGGATCTGATCCGATCTGGAGAAGATGTACAGTACCCAGTATGTCCTTGTACGTAAAACCATGATGCCGGTGGCTTTTTTGGCTTCGGGCGTTTTGCGGGGAAGCAATGTAACTACTGGGTAATTACTTGGTTTGATTTGGTTTTTTTTTTTTTTTTTTTTTTAATTGCAATGGAAGCTTGGACAGTGACTGGAATGTGGCTGAAATGGGATAATTTTGTGATGATGCCAGGCACCCAAATTGGTCTCTTCAACAGCGGTCAAATACAATGATGGATGGCGAGGTAATAATAAGAGTGCATGCAGAGTGGAACGCTGCAAGAACAAGGAACAAGGAACAAGGAACAGCCTGCATCTCTCTCTTTCTCTCTCTGGAGTCTGTACTGCGTCGGAGAATTTCTGTGTCAACCAGTGTGCCACCAAGAAGAGTCTCAAGATAGATGAGGTTGCACTAGTACTCGGTACGTAATAGATCATGTCCAAGTACGAGGTACGCCTTCTGTTCTCCGTACTTGGTACATGCTCTCAGCGACAATGTCCGCGTGCCCAGTCAGATCGGGTCAAATTTGGACCTGCGACACGGTGTTGGCTGAGAGGTCGGATTGCAGTTGAGCGGAAAACTGCCCCTGAGCCATTCTGGGAGCCCCAAGAGCCCCGAGGAGGCCATGAAGCATGGAGCAGACTGCAGTACGGGTAACTTAGTGACGATTAGTCTTTATTGGAGTGCAGCTGTGGCTTGGACCCGCTACTCATGCACCCAATGACAGGGTCTGCCCTGGCTTCCTGGGTTTCGGGACGTTGCTCGGCTGCCAGCCCAGACGGCGGCCAGAGCTAATGAGGGCGCACTACTTACCGGTAGGCACTCTACGTAAAAATAACAGGGGACAGGGTGGAGGGGGGGCACCTTATGCAGGTCAACTCTCGTTTTGCCCACCCGTTTCTCTAGGTACAGTAGGTACAGTGTGTCTTGGTATGTCCCCGGTTGAAGTTGCATGGGCTGCGACTAGGCTGCACATCACTCCATGACTGCCCCAACTGCACTGGTGCCCGTTGTCCATGATCTTCAAGCCGGGGGTTGGCCTGTTACTCTCTGCCGCCGTCTGCCAGCCTGCAACGTGCACGAAAGAAAAAACGGTTCGCATGCTGTGTGTGGCCATCCATGGCCCGCCTGCGGTCGCCCACGAAACTGACACTGCAAACTGTGCCTCGTACTCCATCTTCTCCCTACCTGCATCTTGCATCTTCGCATTTCATTTTTCCAACTATTCTCACCTCATTTCGTCCATAGGCCCTCTGCCACCTACATACACTCGTTTTCTCGTTCATCTTTGCTCACTCTCTTTACCGCCGCAGTCATTCGCTGGCTATTGTTGATCGCTCACTGTCATCATTTTATTCTGGGCGACGTTCGGTCACCAGCTCCGTCGCCACGACGTCCAATCCTACTTTTATCACCCCATCAGCTGCAAACTCCTCTCGCCAGCCCCCAGACTCTCGTTTCTCGGACCTGCGCCCAAGCTGAAGCTGTCACTACCTCAGCCACCCTTCTATCCTCTTGGAGACTCTTCCTGGAGACCTTAACCTCGCCTCGTCCGGTTCCCCAGATCCTCAATCCATGCCCTCCTTTCGCCTTTCCTCCGACTCGATCCATCAACAAAACAGGCAACATCCACCCCAGGTTGTCGCGCGCTGTCGAGACGCAATTCACTCTCTCCGTCAACTCTCGCTCCAGCGATGACTCGCCCAAACTTCATCGAGTTGCCCCCCCAAGACAGTCGTTCGGCTAGTGTGCTATCGAGACATGCTCTGTCACCGCGGATTCAACATCTTGACGGCGACGTCCCCCCCGCGCTGTCGCCATTGGACGCCATTGCTGCCCGCAGTCGAAAACTGGCCAAAGAATTGGAGGAAACCAGGAAAGCGGGCGAGCGACGCATGAGCAGACTTCCACCTCAAGTCGTGACGGATTCCCTGACCGAACACCAAAACAATCGACCCCCCATCTTTCGAGCCTTGTCCGATGGCCTTGACACCGTTCCGCCTCTCCCAACATGGGACAAGGATCGCGGCGGTAGTTTCGCTCGGGTTGCTCATCCTGTGAACCGCCCGGCTTCCCAACGGGTCCGTGTGAGTGCCGTTGTCAAGTCAGGCGAGGATCAAGAAGGCAAAGAACCCTCTCCGGTGCAAGATTACTTTGGCGCCCCTCGAGTAGAATCTCCTCCACCAATGGAGCCCAAGAGACCATTCTCACCCTCTCATGGCGTGGGCAGTCCTTCTCTGCATCCCCAACCTGAACTGTCAAGACAGGTTTCGGGCATGTCTCAATCGGATCTCAGTGCAACTTTGGCACCTCCACGGTCGTATTCAAACAGACTTCGACCCTACCAAGACGCCTCTGACGACGACTATACCAGTTCCAACGCGGGATCGACCTTTTCGCAATCGAGGAAGCTTTCGTCCAGCAGCGGCATCTCTGCCCCCCATTCTCCAATCTCACCCTACGCGCAGTCTCATGCTCGATCACCCTCCAACACATCACTCGGGTCCCCCACTCACAAGATGCCGGCGCGGAATTTCTCACGGCCCCTGAGTTCAGTCAGTATGGGCAACCTCAAGGGCGAGAAAAGCCCGACCAAAGCCACCTTCGCCAACCGGTTGAGCCAGCTCCGGGCTGCGAATTCTTTTGATAATATCGCATCGCCGGTCGATGGATATCTAGCTGGAGAGGCGTCTTCGTACACTCACGCGACCTACAGCTTGCCTAGAGGCCGCGTGATATCCGATCGGACTTCTGGAGTCTTTTCGGGACTCTCTACGCCCCATTTTGAGTGGCAAGAACCAATGTTTCCTTGCACGCCCCCGTTAGAAGGGAAAAGCAGCACAGAGCTTCCCGTCCCATCTCCAATTGCATCTGCCCGTCCCAGCAGAGAAGACCAAAGTCATCAGAGATCGGGCCTATCCTTTGAACTCAATACGGAGCACGCATTGACCGCCCCTGACCGCCCCACCCCCTCAACGGCATATTACACACCAACAGGGTCTCTCAGGTCGAATGAGTCTTCAAGTTCGAGACCCTCAATGGGCCAGCTTCCTCATCCAGCCTCTACGTTTGTGCTTCCTCCTACACCCTTATCCCCAGTCGAAGAAGCATCACATTCTTCACGATCGACGAGCACAGTTCGGCCAACAACTAGCCGGTCTAACAGCAACTACCAAGGACTTTCCATGGATGAGCATGTAGCCAAGGCAATCGAGCTCCATCAAGAGGGCGAGCTGAAAGAATCGACATATCACCTGCGCATAGCAGCCAACAAGGGCCACCCAACCGCGATGCTACTGTACGCGCTCGCTTGCCGCCACGGCTGGGGCATGCGAGCGAATGCAAAGGAAGGTGTACAATGGCTTCGCAAGGCCGTAAACTACGCAATGCTCGAAGTTGCGGATGACGAAGACCCGGCGAACCAGAAGCCGGGGGTCGATGTCAACGAGAAAAAGGCGCATCGAGCCCAGTTTGCGCTGAGCATATATGAGCTTGGGGTGTCGCATCTCAATGGTTGGGGCGTCGAGCAAGACAAAGCGCTGGCTCTGAGATGTTTTGAGATTGCCGGCAACTGGGGTGACACAGATGCCTTGACCGAAGCAGGCTTCTGTTACGCAGAAGGCATCGGTTGCAAGAAAGACATGAAAAAGGCTGCCAAATTCTATCGGAGGGCTGAGGCAAAGGGTGTCAGTATGGTTGGAAATAGCTGGTAAGTTAGGGCAGCTTTGTGGTTGGAAATTGTTCTTCCTATTAACCGGCCACAGGATCCACAAGGAGAAATACAACGACTCGGACGACGAGACTGATGACAGAGCACGGTCGCTGCGAAAGACGTCGGCGGAGAAGACGCGCAGCAAGTCCAAGTCTCGCGGGATTTTTGGACGAAAGAAAACATCACTCTAACCTGACATGGCAACAGACGTCTGTGGCTGGACTTGGACATATTGCTCTGGCAGTATCAACAACATGGAGATGATGACTTCGATATGTTGCTCTGGAAGCTCAAATTTTGACGACACCTGCACAAGCCCCTCTCATCTTTGATGGCTCATGTATTATGAAATCGCATACATTATACACAGGGGTAATGGGGCTCGTCTTGTTGCTCTGCAGGAGCTTGGACTTGGATCTCTTTCTCCCTGACAGGAAGCGAGGTACATTTTTTTGACGGTTTCGGGCTGTGTCTTGGATATGATGCGACTAATTACTTGAGGACTTTGTAATGAATGAATTCTCGACCGCCTACGAGGTACTCTCTCCTGTAAATGTCAGTTTGTTATTGGCCAGCCTGGTCAGGTGGCTTTTGGAATGACTAATACACTATGGCTTTTCCAATGCAACTCCACGATCCTGCCCTTCACATGTGGCCATGGGAACGATCTCTTCGGTATATTTCGTTTCCGACGAGGTAATTATGAAGCAGAAAAACGAAGACACCACATCTCGAACCCACGGGCATAACATCCATTCACGCCGCTGACCCCTGGAGACTTTTTGCCATTAAAACACACGCGCACACTCTCTCTTTTCTCTCTCCTTGCCTAACTCTTCTCGCCATGAGTCACGACCAAGCTCGGCCGAACAAGGCACATGAAGATGATCAAACATTACCGGGAACCAGGATGGAAACGAGAATGAGAATCAGGTCCTCGGCCCTCGCGCCGCAGCAGGTTCCCGCGCTGCTGGCCCAGCTCGAGGCTCACCTCCCATATTCCATCCCGCTGCTGCGCAGGATCCAGTGCCACCTGCACCAGCGTGTTTCGCGGACGGCAAGGGTTTTTGTCGCCGTTGCAATTAATGATGATGATGCTGCTCCTGTGGAGAGGGACAGGAACGGGGATGGGGATGGGCAGATACAGGACAGGAGAAAGAGTGAAGTCCGGAATGATTCGTGGGTTGTGGATCGGTGGCTGAGAGCTTCTTATGGGAGGGGCCAAGATGAGAAGACCACGGCGGCGGTAGAGACAGAGGTAGAGGCAGAGGCAGACTCCCAACCGTGGATTGCAGCGCACATCGACCTCGTCAACCCTGGACAGACCCAGGTATGGGTATTCGCGAGCTGGGAGGCAGATGGACGAGATCCTTTCCCATCGTCGATGTCGACCTCAACCTCGACATCACAATCACAATCACCGTCACCCGCATCATCATCATCATCATCACCCTCCTCCTCCTCCTCCTCCTCCTCCTCCTCCTCCTCCTCTTCTTCTTCTGTTTCCACCAACTCTTCCGCTTCCTCACCTGCTTCTCCAGCCCACGACGCCCTCATGCGCGCTCTCTTCCACTACATCCGCAACGACCTCGTCCCCAGCCTCCCGACTTCCCCGCCAGACGAGTGGCTCGAGCTGAAGCGTACGGGCAAGTACCTCTCGACGCCATACTCGCGGAACAAGGTGCTGTTCGGGACCGTCAGTGAGAAACTGTGGCGTCATTTTCCGCTCCAGGCTAGGACCAGGACCGACGCTGGCTACTGGAAGTATTTGTTCCGGGTCGTTGAAGGAGAGAAATCACTGTCATTGTCGTCGCCACAGAATCAACATAATGATGATGATGGTGCTGGGGGTAATCGTGAAACAAGCACACCGCCAACCTCCTCCGGCGTCCCGTCCTCCGGCGTCCCTCTCCTTCCACCAGGCTACGAATTCGGCCCCATGCGCCCGTCAGACCTGCAGACCGTGCTGGACCGCACGCCCATCCCGCGCACCCTGGCCACCCTGCGCCAGTTCGTCTCCCTCGGCCTGTTCCGCCGAGACGAACAACCAAGCCCCGGTCCCGGGCGGGGTCCAGCCGTCGGCTGGGGGTTCCTGGGTAAAGACGCCAGTCTGTCCAGCCTGCACACCGAGCCCGAGCATCGTGGCAAAGGCCTGGCTGTGGCGTTGGGCCGCGAGCTCTTGAGACGCCAGCACGTTGTGTCTCCTTCGGATGCCGCGGCGGAGGCGGAGGCGGAAGTGGAGGAGGAAAAAGAGGGAGAGATATCACACGGTGACGTTGGACGCGGACGCGGGAATAGATCGAGATATCCGACAATAGACTACTCCCGCAGCACCACCAGCGCCAAACCCTTCGCCTGGGCCCACGCAGACGTCTCCCAATCTAACACGGCGAGCCGGCGCGTCATGGAGAAACTGGGCGGCATGGCCCTGTGGATGGTCATGTGGACCGAGGTGGACATGGAGAAGATGCTGTCCTCGTCGGGGTCCTCGTCGTTGGCGTCATGACAACTTCCAAGGGCAGGGCAGGAGGGTGCACGGGAGCGCGACGATACGAGACGGGGTACCTTGCAATGCTAGCCAACGTATGGCGAGACGAAGAAGAGATGCGGTAAGGTAAATATGGATATATATATATATATATATATATATACATATACGTACACATATATACACATATAGATAGCAGTATATATTCGAACACACTCTGTATACCTCGGATATTGAGCAATTATATCTATCTATGCATAGATGTCTTGTGCAGTGTGAATTCTGTAGGAGTGCTGGTGTGGGGTATTTGATATCCTATGTTTGTCCATTGTTCGTCACAAGTCGTCAAAAGGTTCTCCATATTCTGAGTCAGAATAACAGCATCAACAACAGGAGCAGCAGCATCAGCGGCAGCCGTAGATCATTATGCAAACTTCCAAGCCGCCCGCATATCTATTCTCCCATCCTTCCGTCATCTGAGACAGCCGCGTCAGTCATCAATTTGTGTCAACGCCGCGCATGCGTTAGGCTGGGCAAGGCTGGCTAAGCTCAGGATGCTGGCAGCCAGTTTAACTCTATCTGGAGTTATGACACCTGGCTCTTCCCTGTCATTCCTTCCATATGGATTGGTTCGTACCAGGTAAGGTGTAAAAGGGTAGTGCAGGCTTCCACCACATTTCTAGTCCACCTATACCTTGCCAGGAATCTCGTCAATTTCCTCGGTCCCGGCTGCCTTCAATTGCTCTTGGTGTTGCACATTCGCAATTGCCGACTGTAAGGCGCTCGTCAAGTCAATGTGGAAGAAAGGCCTATTCAAACTGTGAACCACAGCAACTCTCTTGGTCGAGGTCCGGACATATGCCTTGCTATGACTAATCTGTTTCGACAGATCACCGTCCTGGCTGGAGCTCGTCGTAGAGTCATCCTTGTACTGCGCCCGTGTGATATCGTCGGTTTTGGAGATACCGCTGCTGTTTGGTCGAGAGCCGCCTTGCTCTTCGTCATGATGCTGACGAGACAGTCGTCGATTGGCTTCATCCTCGGCAGCCGCGGCGGCAGAAGATGCACCGCCGATTTCTGCAACACTGAAGATGGGCTTCCAGCGATGCTGCTCTTCCGTGGGGACCGTGGGAAAGCCGAAGCCGGCAGAGGCGAGAGCTCGCTTCGTCCAACGGTTGTTAATGCATGCAAGGTGCCATTGAACAGCTTCGGGGCTGGCATAGCGGTCGAGCTGGTTGCGGACATCGATCAGATTCTGAACACTGGTAACGTCGACATTGTTGACGGATGAGAAGTCCAGAATGACAGCTTTCAAGGTCGGCAGGTGAGATCGGTCTGGTTCGGACTTGCCTCTTCGGGGGCCAGGGTTGTTCCATGGGCGGTCTCCCGGCCGAGGCCATGAGTCAGGGTTGGTCCGCCGCGTGTGTTCAAAGATATATCGGACAAGATAGTCGGTGTAGTGGTTCGCGTTGGGGTAATTGAAGCCCTCGCTAAATCGATAGATGAAGATTCCCGGATAGGGAGATTCGACATGGATGGACGGATTCGAGCCGTCGTGGTGATCCAAGGGAAGGAAGATATTTCGCGCGGCCTGGTCATCATCGGACATGCGTGGTTTGTCATGGAACTTGTCTTCGATCAAGTGGTCACCAATGACCGAATGAATCTTGACCTTTCCGACGAAGTGGCCACGAGCTTTGACAACTCGGAAGAGAAGAACAGCAGCGCTGACGGAAATGGTAGTGTAGATACCATTCTCGATGGACGAGAAGACGGTCACAAACACACCTGTGAAGAAGATGAGGACTTCCAGCGGTGAAACGCGCCAGAACTGGTACACCGTGTTGGGAGGGGTGATCAAATCACCGACAGCATGGATAATAACAGCAGCAAGTCCGGCATTGGGAATGTAGAAGAACATGGCTGGAAGAGCGTAAATGGCTAGGAGTACCACTATGGCCGTAATGACACCGGCAAAGGGTGTCCGTACGCCAGCCTTTGACTTGATGGCGGTCCGAGAGAACGAGCCGGTGGCGGGATAAGCTCCCAAGAAAGGGCCAAGCAAGTTCGTAACACCTATGGCGACCAGTTCCTGTGACGGATTGATGGTATAGTTATTGATTCGGCCAAAAGACTTGGAGATGGCAATGTGTTCGATGAGCATGACAATGACAGATGCTGGAAGTTGGTCCGCAAAATAGCCGATGATGGTCGTGTCGATCGTTGGCACTGCGGCGTGTTTGAATCCACGGGGGACTTTGCCCAAGATACTAAAGATGGGCTTCTCGCGATGATGCCGGTTCGAGAGATAGCTGATCAGGATGTATACGCAAAGCACAAACGAAGTGCGCAGCGTGTTGAGGAAGAAGAACAGCTTCGCTCGGTTGGGGTATTTCTTTGCACAGCGGTTCAAGATGAATCGGATGAGGTAGAGGAGGAATAGCGCCGTCAAACCGATAGCGGCGTCGAGTTTGGTATGCCCGAGATACTTGAGGGTGTTGATCACCACCAAATAAGTTGAGGCGCGAGTATTGAATCCTTTGACCTTGATGCCCATCAGAGTGGGCACTTGACCAACCGCAATGTTGAGGGCAGAACCGGTGATGAACGCAGAGATGGCCGTCAAGGGAATGAAATCCACAATCCACCCGCACCGGACGATCCCAATAAAGCAGATGATGGCGCCTGCAATGATTGCCAAAGCGGAAGCAACAACGTGGCCGGGAACATCAGGATGCTCTGCCACGACTTTGTTGACGACATTTCCGGTAATGGTGGACATGACAGCGACAGGACCGATGGTGATATCTTTGGAGGTGGCAAAGAACCAGTAGATCAGGACCCCCATGAATGAAGAGTAGAGTCCATATTCGACGGGAAGCTCAGCGAGTTTTGCGTAAGCCATGCTCTGAGGCACGACCACGGCGCCGACCGTGATGCCAGCGACCAGATCCCCAATCAACCATTGGACATTGTAGCGCAGAATCCAGTTGGTGAAAGGGAACAAACTGCGAAAGTAGACCAGCATATTATGTCCAGAGGGAATTAGATCTCGGACCCAGTCGATGGTTCTCGGCTCATCCTCGATATAAGAGTCAGCCGTGCTGACTGAGTATGTTGATTCGCCTCTGGTCACTGCATCTTTCTGTGCCTGGCGCTCGTCGAGGTTGATAGCGAGGACCTTAGCCAGTCCATGGCCGATCTTGGAGGAGGTGGCCGCCATAGTCACGTCTAACAGGTCTAATCAGAGATCTGAAAGAACGTGCTTCCCGCCGGTATACCGCAAAAGAGTGGGTGCCCAAGGTCGACCTGCTGAGAGAAGGTTGGAAAGAGAGTATATAAAGAAGAGGGGCTGTCGGAGCGGACTTGCAGAGTTTGAATAGCCTGGGTTGGGAAGATTGCTCTGGCGCGACTAGGGGGGGGTCCGAGTCGGGTATGGATCTGGTATGGACCAAATGGGCCGGGGAGGCCTGACCGCTGACTGGCTAGATATGCCAAGGCTTATGGCGTGGTGGAAAGCGGCAGGCGGATAGGATTTGCACCAAAAGGCTAGAATTAGTGCGCTTTGTGGCTTGCAGCGTGCTTGGGTTTGTGTCGCTAGGAATCGCTCGACTTCCCACGGCGGAGGAGATGGTTGGAGCTGCGTGGTTGACACGCTTCGCCCAAGGGGCTTAGTACCATAAGTTTATCTTCTTCGTATGCTGTGACCAAGCAGAAAAGAATTGATGTTCTTGGTTCCAAGTATGGGTTCAGAATGAAAGAGGAGTCCACGTTGTGGGAGCTCTCGACCTTGATATCAGCCCGGGGGGGGGGAGGTTCCCGGAGGGGGGTCTACACCAAGAAGAACAGGGAAGATGTGAGATGAAGGTAAGTAATGTAGAGGCGGGCGTGCCAGCGAGCCAGGTTTTGAAGTTATCCTCCGCCTACCGCAACCTTGAAAGGCAGCAGCACGCGAGGGACCATGTGGGCGTCAGTGCTTGAACAAGCGAGATCTCAACTCGGCTTGGAGAGAAGGGAACGAGAAGGTGTTTGAGAAGGGGTCTCGAATCGATCCTCAGGATGCTTCCTAGAGAAGGGGGCAGAAATTTTCTATTCGTCTCATTGGAGCGATGATGAAATGGACGGGGTCAGAGGCGATGGTGCAATCGAAGGCGTGATGGAACCCAAGGCGCAGTTCTCGGAAAGGCGACCATTGCAACGCACTGCCCTGCAGCTCATGCTCACATGCCCAGAATCAAACCCGTTGCAATGGTCCATTGGATGACGACGATGAACATGCGTTGAAGCGCGAGAGATATCCAGGGTGGCGGAGAACCAGCAGCGGCTGTTGTTTCAAGCACACGAAGCATTTCTCAGAGCGACGACTCGGCAGCAAAGATATCTCGCACGAGGCACCGAGTACAGCCAAGCCATCCAAAGGACCATGTGGTGGTTGATGCCATCCAAAGCAAACCAAGCTTGGTGAACACAACAATAGACAGGTGGTGTGCCTTGTCCGACTTCAGAAAGACCCATGGCCCTGGCACCGCAGTCGCCATCAACAAACAACGGCGGCGGCGACGGATTGCAATTGATGATGATGATGATTATGGCTATGGCGATGACGGTGGTGCTGACCCTCGTTGCCGCTGTCGTTCCCCGGCACGGGTCGAAGGGAGTGTTCCCTCGTTTCGCCAACCCTCCTCGTGGGTAGACTTCGCATGCTCTCTGACGTCCTCGTATCGTTAGCAGCGGTGGGTGGTTAGCGGCGAACTAACTTATCACCCTCGCCTCACATGGCTGCATGCAAAGGCTAGTCAATTCCATCATGTCTCTGACCGAGAAAGGCCATCAACTCTTCTGAGAGGAGCAAAATGGCGTGCTCAATGTGTCGCGGGTGCAGTTGTTGACATTTGTTTCGTCGATCAATGTGGTCCCGCTCTTGCCTGCCAGGGCCCGCGGGTCTCCCGCCTGTCAATTTGTGGGCAAGGCTTGCCATCGAAGAGGAAATCTCTCGAGTCGGAGCCAATCATGGCGAGCTGGTCCCCGGCGTGGGTTTGGCTAATTGCTGACGCGATTGACGCCATAATGATCCCATCGTCCATGGAAAACCGAGACTGAATTTATCAGGGTTTACAGCTCGCCCGTTCATGTCTGTGTATGTGTCCCTCATCATTTTTTGCCTGGAGAATGTGGTCTTTTTCTCCGCCGATCACGTCAGCACGGCATGCACCCCGTCGAGTTCTCGATGGAGGAGCAGTGTAGGAGGGTGTCTAGGACAAGATCGCAGGTGGTGGATGTGCCAGAGCTGGAGCAAGGTGCATGTGCAGCACGCCCGGGAGGGAGACAGGGAGGAGGGTGGAATGTGGATTGTTGGATCACAAGGGACACTGCATGTCTGTGCGTGCCATGTTGACCGCTTTTTGCGCCCAAGTCAGGTGGCGACGAGCGTGGATGTCAGGGGCCAAGCCTTGTTTTCCCATTTGCAACCGCAGGCTTTGCCCCCTCCCTAAGCATCGAGTCGATAGAGCTCGAGTTCAGTTGGATGTTACTCGGTACCTCGTACCCAGTACAGAAAGTCAAGGCCGCCAGCCTCAAACTCTCCTATTTTCGTCTTCGTCTGATTTTCTCCTCGTGTTACCGGACATTTGACTTCTCGATAGCGTGATCCCCCTGATCTACTATTAACCCCCCATCCTGCGTTACTTTTTTGGGCCGTGCCTAAGGATTTCCTTTTCTAACCGCATCGGCGGTGGGGGGTTGAAAACTCCGATATCTTGACGCCGTTGACGAGATTATGGCCGGCCCTGCTCACCATGGCCATGCACAATCAAGAGCTGGAACCCATGTGGCTTCGCACTAGGTCGGCCCATCGTGCTCTCGGATCATGCGTCCGATCTGTTGTGAGATTGATGGAGATTGATATGATCCTCGTGCTTTGAAGTTGGCGGCGCTGCGGAGTCCATTTGGGGCACTTGCCGTGGCCCTACCGGAGGACTGACGACGGAGCTGAGTTACGGAGGTACACTTGGTCGTCAGTCTAAAAAAGCAATCCAATCTACACGTGCTTCTCCCGCTCGGTTAATACAGAACAAAGTAGTACGTCTCTTCTCTGCTGGCTCTTCGGTCGCCACCGTCATAACATAACGAGTACTGTACTTGTATCAACTAATCACACCCCCTCACGAGGTCTCGCGTGCTGCAGCTCCAGACCCCTAGTCTATCATGCATAATAGCAAGGCTGTCTAAAGATGCGTGAATCGGTCAGAGCCCAAGACGATGTACACTAGGCCCTCGGCAGGTCTGTCCATGCCCTCAGCCGAACTGAGACCTCCCGTAGGCCTTCTTGCTGTGTGCACACCATAAGAGCCATTACTCCATATTCTGATACCTTCCTTCATGAAACGCCGGGAGTTTGACCGCAAGCTATTCCATTCCCAGTCCCTTACGCCGTGCAATGCACCCGTGCCCATGCTCCAGCGATCATGAGATCAAATGCAGGATAAACCCTCACGTTCGCTGATGCCCGGAGTCGTTTACTTCTTTCGCGCGTCAACTCATTATGTCTGCAGTCCATTGTTTATTCTTTTCAGCGTGGTCACATTTGCCGACCGGGCGTTGGCGTTTCCCCGCTCCTTTACTGGGAAGCACACTGAACTCTCTCGGCTCCAGGTGGGATGCCATCTTCATCTTCTTCGTCCATGCCAGCGGCACCATGAGCACGTGCTTGTTGACGGGGATCGACATCTTCAAGGTCAAAATCTTCTACCATGCCGTCGGGAGGTGGCAGTTTCTGTTGCATGCGGGGCGGCAGGACTTGCTCAAGGAGCTCGAGGTTCTGGAGTTGTGTCTTATCTGGGAATTTGACGTCGAATTGAATGTACAGGTTGCCAAAATCGTGGTGTCTAAATGACGGCATGCCTTGGCCCTTGATCACCTTGATTGCTCCTAGCGGGAAAGTCAGTATCAGGACACTAAGCTATCGCGGCAAGGGACTCGATATAATTTTGAACTCACCAGGAGTGATAGGTTCGCCGGGATAAATGTTGACAGTCAACCACCGATCGTCGAGATGCTCAATATAAATCTGACCACCGGCCAAAGCAGTCAACAAATCAATCTCAGCGTGATAGAAAAGATCGTCGTCCTTCCTCTGGAATCGTGGATGGGGCTTCTGTTCGATCTCAAACACGACGTCTCCTGCAAGGACCCCCGGCATCTGATCACCCTCACCGCGAAACTCAATCTTGTGGCCGCTCTTGACGCCACGGTCGACATGGACGTGGAGGACCTTACGTTCCACCACCGTCTTCTTGCCCATGCAACGTTTGCATCGGTCGCGGTCACGGATAGTTTCTCCCTCACCCTGGCAATCGGGACAGATGGTCTGGAACCGTTGAATCATGGGGCCCATTTGGCGCATCATAGTCTTCATGCCCTGACCGTTGCAACCGGTACAGGTCTTGACCGCCCCTTCTTTGCCTCCACGGCCGTCACACTGCGGGCAGATGACCGACTTTTGAAGGGCAAGTTTGGACACTTTCCCACGGTAGATATCCTCGAGGGACACTTTGTGGACATGGTGGATAGTTCGGGCTTTCTTTGGGCCGGCGTCGCGCATGCCGCCTCCAAACATGCCTCCAAAGGCTGATCCGCCGCCAAAGAACTGTGCAAAGAGATCTTCTGCGGCCATCCCACCGCCTCCCATGCCGCCTTGTTCTAGACCTTCTTCGCCATACTGATCGTAAAGGCTTCGTTTCTGAGGGTCGGAGAGGACTTCATATGCTTTGGAAAGGTCTTTGAACTTTTCAGCCGCTTCTGGGTTGTGGGCATTCTTATCTGCTCAGGAGTCAGAAACGCTGCCTCTCAGATCGAGAGCCGGATAGTGCTCTTACCTGGGTGGTGTTTCAGGGCACCTTTCTTGTAAGCCGATTTCAGTTGAGCCTCTGTGGCCGTAGGGTCAACCTGTGTTACGTTTGTTAGTGGGCGACGGTCGTCTCCAGCCTTGCGAAGGCACACAATTCAACCTACCCCTAGGATGTCATAGTATTTTGTCTCCTTGACCATCTTGCTCGCTCGAGACTCTTGGTGAGTGTAGATGCTGACGAGGGTGAGGTGAGAGGCAAGTCAAGAAGGACGGAAGGGTGTTGGTGGGTTGAAAAAGATTCGTCTGTGAGCGGGTTGCAGGAATTCTGGGAAAGGAGGTTTGCCGATCTGATGGGCGACGCAGGCAGCGTTGGACGGGTGAATGTCCAACTAGTGTATGTAAAAGTTACCAAGAGATATAGAGTCAAAAGGGCCCAGAGAGTGAAAGGGAAAAGGCGTGGATTTATGAGGTCAAGTCGCAGGACAAACAATTGTATTGTTCCAGGTTGATCAGGTTGGTAGGCGCGCGAGATGATCGGGTCGGGGAAGGTTTTGGAAAAAGCCAAGAGAAGAAGAGAACCAGATCGAATGTCGCAGATTCCGCCATCCCACAGACGGTGGGCCAATGGAATTTCAGATGAGGCTGAGGCCTTCACTTCACGGCCACATCAGTTTTCGTAAGACTCCATCCGATCACTGCGGGATTATGACATTACCATGATGAGCACTGCTGTTTCTTTCCGTTCTTGCCAGCATTCTGCAGTATCGTCACCATGGTGAAGTTTTAACCGGGCACGTATGCGACGCAGGTACAAACTATGTACGGACGATAAGCACATTCCGAAGATCTGCTACGGAGTGAAGACCCTGGCTCGTCACGTCAGCCAATGACATGGATGGCCGGACTAATTGCTAGACTGTGTTCGCCGTCGGACTCTAGAGCTGTGAACCCTTGCGGAACAAGTACAAGTACCAGTACAAGTACCTCGTAAGCCGTCTGACAAAACAAGACCACACGCGTCTGCTTCGACTGAGCGTTGTCGGTTGTCTCGACCGACAATGCCCGACACATTCAGCCTTGCCAGCCTTTCTCAAAAAGCCAATTTTTCGGAGCGGAAAAACTTTAGCTATTAGTTCGGTCTTGGCATTTTGGTGGCGGCGGATGCTCAATGCCTCCCAGTCTTCTTCTCCAAGCCTAACCTCATAGGCCCCCCTGACGCCCCGTCACTACTACTTGCGAGTGCCTGGTGGCTCAATACATGGGCAGCCCCAAAGCGGGCATTCAGGCGTCAACTCGCCCTTCAAGTCCAAAATACCACACCTGCACTTGACCTGCAGTCACCGACTAGTACAGCCTGACGAACAGCGCCTGGTGACCACAGCCTCGATGGGAAGGTAGGATCCCGTTCAAACACTCGCATCACACATTTTCCTGGCGGGTTGTCGATCTTGGAACGACAAATATACATTAGTGGAATCAATTCCATGCATCGCTTCTCCATTGCTGTATTCTTTCTCTTTCGCCCTTTTCCCAGGATCTCATCTTCATTCTTTCGGCGAGACTATGAGTGAGCGGTCTGCCACCTCCCTGCAGGACAATGCGTACAAGGAACCCGAAGCCGTCGAGATGATTCCGAGTCCCTGCCCACTGACCAACACAACTACTTCTCCCAAACACCAGGTGCATGACCATGTCGACTACCGCAACCATTCCTTGCAGATTTAGTCAGCTGACAGGTCAATAGACATGTCCAGCAACTCCGTGCGGCATCTAGCTTCATTCTCCTTTGCGCCCCAAAACTGCCTGGCTGAAAAACAGACCTGTACCAGGACCCTTTATACTTCCTGCATCTCTGATTGCTTGCTTCGTCAGGCCGTGGAAACCCAACTTGATGCCCAATAAGGTCTAGTTCTCATATGCCTGAGCTCCAGCCAAGGTCTGCCACGTCGTGCCGCATTGAGCTTCCCATTCCCCCTCTCTGGCCTTGCAGATCTTATAAGACTGGCAATAGTCCTGACTCTTGATATCTGAAGTTAATACATCAAACTTGAAGGACAAGCTTCTCCCCTTGGCGTTACGTTGCGAACAAATATCGCCAGTCCTGTCCGTGCTACAGCCATGGTTCGCTCAAACCACAGCCGGCCCATCCCAATTCAGATCTGGGAGAAACACAAATTCACCATCTATGAGCTCTATGCAAGATTGCCCTTGGATGAAGTCATGGCTGAGATGCGACAGAAACACGACTTCGTCGCAACCGCGCAGCAGTACAAGCGACAGCTGGGGAAATGGGGCCTCCGCAAAAACGTCTTGATGGAATTAGAGGTTATTGATGACGAATCCATCGCGCGTGGAGGCAAGATCTCCCAACGCCAGATCAGTCTTGAGAGGAGAAAACAGCTGAAGAAGCAGAAGCCGCCGAAACCCAAGCCAGCCACGCCGCGCACCACGCGGGCACGGTCGACTCTAAAGCGGAGGGCGATGTGAATTTCAACGGCACAAGACGTCCAATATGGCGTCTGCTCAAGAGGGAGTGAAACGGAGAGAATCTTGGAAGGATGAGTTCTAAATGACCTCTCAGGGACTGTTTCGGTGCTGCTCTATTTCTGGAGCTGGTACTCGATGGTCTAAGGCTCATTAGCCGACGAGTAGTGAAGAAAAGACTTTGCCCGCGAGACGCCAGGAAATGAATCTGCGACGGCATACAGAGTGCCCACTCACCGTTCGTATAGACTCGCACTTTGTGAAGGCTATATACGAACCAACCCCCTGAATCGCAACATGCCAGTCTCAAATTGGCTCTCGCCGGACAACAAAAGGGTAAACGAGCAGGACCACACGCTCTCTTGCACGCGGCCGAGAGAATGCTCTGTTTTGTTGCCCTTGGGAAGAATGACCAGCACAAACAGAAACCCATTGCTGACCTCAAACGGGCAGATATCACGGCGGAGAAGGGGAGAGGAGGGGAAAAAAGGGTCCGCGAGATCCAGACCCCAAAAATGTTTTACGTCCCGATTCATGCCTTCACCCTGGTTGTGAATGAGGGAAATCGAGTATCCTATTGCCTTGGCGGGTTCACGAGGACCATGCCGGATGCAGATATCTCCAAAATTCTGGTTAGGTTGGCTTTGATACTATCTCGGTTTATTTCGACTCCTTACTCGAGAGCATCTTGAAATTGACCGTACCATAGCTTGGATATATCAGAGGCAGAGGCGGAAGCGCAAGCGATGGCCACGGCAGGCCGTTCACGCGTTTTGCTGTTGAAGCACCTAAAAAGCACCTTGAGAGTTCCTGCACAGTTCCTGCCTTGTTTTCTCGTTCTCATGACTCCCACTCCTCTCTACTGGGTACTCCGCTCTCTTCGCCCAATCCAATCAATGGGTCAAACGCGCGTAAACCTCAAGATCAAGCGATTACTCCTGGGCTTTGTCGTGTAGGCGTCCACTTCCTCGATGCCCTCGTCGTCCACAATCTCCGTGGCCCAGTTGCTGTATATCGCCGAGACGAGCAGCTTGATCTCCTGGATGGCCAGGTGGCTGCCAATACACATCCTGCCGCCGGACCCAAAGGCCCAGAACCAGCGGTGCATCTCCTTCAGCTGGTCCTCGGAGGAGTGCGAGGGCAGCCAGCGCGCAGGCAGGAACGTCTCCGGTTCGGAGAAGACTGCCTCGTTGCGGTGCAGCGTGTAAGGCATCGCCGAAACGCGCACGCCGCCGGGGATGTTCGAGTAAGATCCCAGCGTGCTCCCGCCTGGAACGTGGGGGGAGATGCGTGGTTCGATGCCCGGGATGGGCGCGTGCAGACGCAGTGTCTCCATCAGGATGGCGTTCAGTAACGGGAGGGCATCGATTTGTCTCGGGTCCGGCAGCTCAAAGTCCAGCGCAGGATCAGAAGCCGTGGGCAACGGCCATTTGATCGGCGGCGTCAGCGTCAGCACCTCTTCACGAAGTTGCTTTTGGAGGTCTGGGTTCTTGCTCAGTTCCCAATACAGGTACGTCAGGGCGATGGCCGAGGTCTCGTGGCCCGCGCCCAGCTGGTCCAGCATTTCGCTGTAGATCTCCGCAGTCGTGGTGTCGCTGGTGTTTTTGTTGTCATGCAGTTCGTCGTGCCGCGTGGTCGGCAGGATGACTTCACCCGTCGCCTTTCCCGCATTTGGATCCTTTTCGCGAAGCTTCGTGATGCCGGTCTTGAATTGCTTGTAGACGACCGGCTCGTCGCCAGGGTATACGGAGGCCGTGTCGCTTGCTGCTTCCTGCGAGGGAAAATTGTCGGCCTTGCGGCACATGCCGGCGTTCCAATCTTCAAGGAGGATGTTCGCCTCGTCCACGAAATACGGCACGACTTGCAGTCCGAGGCTTCGCGTCAGCCTCTTCAGCCAAGGAGCTTCGGCGGAGAAGAACTCATAGTCCCTACGACAATGGTACTGATGAAGGATATGCCTCCTGCTTGTCAGGTCTTGGGTAAGATTCGTCCCCGCCGACAGGCCGAACTGATACGCCGACATGAAGTCCATGGCAAAGGCATTGTTCATGTCATGCACGTCCGTGGGCTCGCCTGTTTCGGAAAGTTTCTGGAGAAGAGGGAGATAGCGGGTCGAGAACAGAGTGTGTGAATTCGCAGCAACTTGTGGAGAAGAGGCGATGTAGGACTTTGAGTAGACGTTGGCCATTGTCCGTTTCTTTTGCGAATGAGGACCGTGATGGATTGTAGAAAACATGTTCATGACCCTGGCCAAGTTCGTCAGTTTTCTCTCGACATTTGAAGCCATCCAGTCCATAAGGGATCGTTCTTTACCCGTAGGAGCCAAATCTCTGAGGATACCAGGCATGCTTTTCCCAGGAGCCGGCATATATGGTCTTGATGCCGTTATCCACACAGTTGACGCTCAGTTCGTTGGCGCCCATTCGGACGACGGACCCGTGCTTCAGATGGGCTGCGTATGTCACGGCGTTGTTTCTCTCCATGTAACGCTGATAGGTGATCCAGGTATCTCCGAAGATGGGGATCGACCAATGCGCAGAGGGAATATGCCGTAATGGATGGAAGAGGAGCGGACAGAGAATGAATTTGTATAGGGCGAGCAGAGCCAGCGAGCCCAAGGTCAGCAAGGCGAAGACTGGGAGCGCCATCCTTTTAGATGATCATAGGATGAAGCGACTCAAAGGAAAACGATGGCAGGAGAATGGATACAAACAAAAAAACTGGCGAAGTGGAAGTGATGCCTTTCCTTTCGGTCCAAGTCACTGCTCGTTTGATGCCGGACGAACTCGGTGAAAGAGGAAGATAAAGTGAAGTTGGCAGTGGGAGATGGAGCTTGGGGATTCTCGAAACCTCACTCGACAAGCGAGAACTCCTGTTCTTCACCTGGATGGCACTCGGAGATGTGAGAAGGATCAGTCATGAAAATTGATTTACCCATACCCCTAATGTTAAGAGTAGGCGAGGAATATAGTTACTGCCATCTCCTTAACCAAACGTTGAGGTCGGACGCGCAACTCCGTATGGAAGGGTTGGACAAATCCGTGATAGCGTAGAGCGAGAGAGAAACGATGTCGACTTTGAGGAGGAAAGATGCGGTCCAGACCGAGCAAGACGAGGCGAGGGCGACGGGGCAATGTGTGAGGAAGCACTCAAAGCAGGGAAACATCAGGAATTGGCTTTTGCAGCATCTATGAAGCGATGGAAACCTTGTGCTTGCCTTTACCTTCCATCGCGTCCGGCTCAGTCTCGTCGTCCTCGCCCTCGTCACTGCTCGAGAATTCATCTTCGTCGTCAAACCCTGCGAACCGCCGAACTGCTTGCTTGGGCTTTGGCAACAGATGGCCGGGAATTTTGAGTCGATTCTGCAGCACCCAGATGGCGTCGGCATCTCCTGCCTCAGCTTCTGATCTAAGCCGGGACATATCATCTTGATCCAGCTCCATCACATCTTCCTCGTCGCTATCTTCGTCACTCCCAGGACCGGAGCCTCCGCTGCCGCTGCTGTCAGCTTCTTGTGCTGGAGACCTTTTTGCCTCTTCTTGCTCTTCACCTGCCAGCATGGCCATTTTAACAGCATTCCGCACATTCTCTCCAACCTCTTCTTTCGTTTCTATCCACTCGTCACCGAGTCCTTTCCGCCGGCCGTCCGGTCCCTTACCTGCTCGCATGTCGGCCTCCCTCTGCTCAGCCAGTTCGATGATCTGTTCCCACCTCTTGCGTCTTTCTTCCTTCTCCTTTCGATCCATGTCCGGCTTGGTAGCCAGATATGCGGCGAGATTTTTGGCCTCTGCGATGGTCCGCAGCCTTCTCCCATCGAGACCGCGAGCACTTCCGGACGCAAGTTCTGCATTTTGACGTTTCTTTCGTGATGACATACGACCGCCAGCCGCTCGGAGCTGAGAACCAAACCCACCTTTCCCTCCCACCAACGGGGCAGATAGTCGGAGGGGAAGCAGAGAGCTGCGTGCGTTGTCGTGACATGATGAAGCGAATGCCAATTCTCCAACAGTGATCGTAGACGAGGGACGTACACGTTTGTTTAGGGTCGAGGTCAAAGTCAGGTGCGTCGTGTCTGGGAAATTAGGTGGGAGTAGCTCTGCTATAGTGGCCAGTAACTCTGTGGTGGTCGAAGTAGCTGGCAAGGGTAGACAGATTGTACGGGGAAGCGACAGGCCGGGGAAGGTGTTCAGCAAGACATTGACGACCGGCTCCATCTTGCCAGACCCTCTCCGTGGACTTGCGACAAAAGCAGCTAGGGACGCAGGAGTCGAGAGGAAGACGGGGCGATGGAGGCTGCTTTCGGAGTGATGAAACTGACTTTGTAAAGGCGTGGATAGTGGCTTGTTTGAAATTATCGCAAATCACCTTTTTGCAGCGCCGAGTCACGCAACAGATGATGATGGTGCCTTGCAGCAAGGACCATGGGCCAAGGTTGGGGGGCACCACGGGGGTTAACCACCAGCCTTCTAGCTGGATCGGGGCAGGGTCTGGCCACTAAGGGCGTTCTGGGGCGCTCATTTAGGTGGCTAGTGGCCAAAGCCGTTAGGCTGTCAGTGCCGGGAGCTGCAGTGCTGCACCGGAGGTCAAGACGTGCAGCTTTGGCGGCGAGCGAGCAGGTGTCGTCTTCAAACTTCGGAAACTTCATCAGGCGGGAAACTCTTCAAACGCGTCGCAACAACAAGACCAAGGAAATGATTGATCATTGTATTCCAACACCCTCTCACTGGACACGTTGAGAACCACTCTTCGAACCCTCAATCAGGTATCGACCTTGATTCGAGGTTATCCACTGCCCCAGCCCATGAATATCTACGAGAAAAAAAGGAGACTCTCGTGTGCACAGGCCCCTAGATTCGATCCACCGATCATCATCGCGAGGCCACAGCCCCGGCCACTGTGAGATCCGACCAACATTGTCGACAAACTGCTGTCCAACCTCATTCACTGCTTGCGACGTCTAGAGGCATTCGACTTTTCTTACCTAATATGCCCTGGCAGCCGCTGCCTCTGTCGTATGCGGTTGCCATATATCCTTTTCAGCCGACATCGTCTCCCTCAGAACTCCCTCTTCAAATTGGAGACCAATTATATGTCATCGAGGAAGGAGGCAAAGATGGCGCTTGGTGTCGAGGTTATTTGGTTGCGCCGCCCACCTTGCTGTCGGCTTTGAGCCCTGGAGTCCGGACCGCCGCCGACGCCCGTGTCTTTTCTGGCATCTTTCCGAAGTGTTGTATCGAAATTCGAGAACAACTTGGTCCAGGTGTCGAATTTCTCGCCCAGCCGGGCCAGCCAAGGCCCCCAGCTCCAGTGCCCATGCTCAAAATTGGCGATGAGTCTCCGACGTCAAGCACTGAGCCATTGGTGGATGAAATCACCTCCTGTTTGCGGGAATGGTATATTCTGCATCTCCCCGAGCTGGTCCTGCGGCGAGAGTATCATGTTCTAGACCAAATGTCGGACATCACCACACGGCTCGATTATGCCAGGCGGGAATTATTGAACGATGTTCTCACCACTCAGGAGAGGCTGCAAGTCCGCAGGGAGGCAGTCTGGGACCTAGTGCGAGGCAATAAAATGCTCAGCGGCGAGGTCATTGTCCGTGACCCTGCTCGACAAGGTAGACTATTGACTTCGCAGGACTCGGCCATAGAGCTGGCAAAATTACAGTCCGTTATGAGTGTTTTGGATTCCACCCCCTCTGAAAAGTCCAAAGCAACATCGCTCCATCATTGTCTCCTCGAGGCCACGTCAGTTGCTGGTTCTGACCTGGACACGGCAACGCTGAGTCTGACTCTGTATTTAAAGGATGCAGACGGCTACCTCAAGCCCTTTTCGGAGACGTACAGCTCTGTCGCAAGTTCTAAAATGAAAACACTTCTGACGGATCTAAGCACTCGCGACGTGGGGACTGATGATCGGTTATTCCTTATTGTCAAAGTTGTGATTCCAGAACCTCCTCGGAAGACCAAAAAAAGAGCAGCAGAAAGACCGCCGTCAAGGAATGGGACCCTACTTGGCCAACGGCAGCTATCTCTGAACAGGCGGAGATCCAGCTTGATGTTTGGGAGACGACGGAATGCAGAGCGACCTCAGCCTGGCCAAAATGGGAGAACAACCCCCCATTTCCAGGAAAGAGCATCAACTCCGTCGACAATTGAAGAAGAGGAAGATGGCCAGAGCAAGCCTGTCGGGCCACCTGTTCCTCGGACCATTGGAGTGGGAGTTTTGGACATTGCAGACATCATCAGAGGCGGCCAGCCACGAGAAGAGATGGTCCCTATATGGTCTGCATCGCAGCGGGACGATGAAAAGACCGGGCAATCCAGCGCTGTAGCAGCGCAGCTCCTTGACAATCCCGGAAAGGCTCTTGTTCTGTCCACACCAATCTCCAGCGTCACTTTCAGCCTGACTCCTCATGCTGCGCCCGAGGCAGACACCCTGATCAAAAACACGCCCACGTCAATGCATATGATCACCAAAACCCAGAAGTTGGGCTTCTCAGAGGCACCGTCCAAACCACGGTCAGACATCTATCTAACCTTGAGCAAAGCAGTGATAACCCAAGGCTCCTATCTGTCTCACCCGGAGGTGAACGTTGTGCCAGTAAAAGCGCACTCACTGCAGAACCTGCAACTGACTATGGAGGTACGCGACAATACTGGACGACGTGTGGAGCATTGTATATTTCCATCTTCAAATGGTGCGGGAGTTACTGCCTTCCGAACGAATGCCGTTGAGCTCGACCATAAGTGGGATCAAACATTATGTTTGCGAGTGCCAACCGAAAAGGTACCAGAAAGCCACTTGGTCCTGAGTATTGCGGATGCTCCAGAGTTCCCTTTTGCCCTGGCTTGGTTGCCTCTGTGGGACAAGCAGGCCTTCATTTCCGATGGCAAGCACTCGCTGATCCTACACGCTTACGATAAAATCACGTCCAGCATCGTCCAAGGCCGCGGTGCGTATTTGTCCCTGCCCTGGAACAACGCCAACTATAAGACCATCCATGAGGGTTCCTTGGTTACAATTGCCTCCCTTGAAGTCTATACACTCCTCTGCAGCACGGAATATTCGCAGGACCGAACCCTGGTCAGCCTCATCAATTGGAAACATCAGACGTCGGTCCAATTGTTGGATATCCTACAGAAACTCACTTTTGTCCCGGAAATTGAAATCGTCAAGCAGCTTCGGGAGGTCTTGGACGCGTTGTTCGGAGTCCTCGTGCACAAGTCGGGGGAGTCCAAGTTCGAGGACTTGATATTCAACGATATTGTTTGGGTTCTTGGAATTGTCCACGACCGACGGTTTAACCTTGGTCCTCTGATTGAACAGTACACTGAGAACCACTTTCGCTTCCCCTATGCTGCATCTTGCCTGATTCGCAGTTTCACCAGACTTCTGCAAAGCGTTTCGGATCCCCAAAGCGCCCGTGATATGAGAGCATTGTTCAAGGTCGGCAAAAATTTCATGAGGATCCTGATCGTGTCCTACCAACAGCGACGCTTTGGGTCGCAACTCAAAGACAACGATGAGAAGCACTCTACCTTCAAGGAAGACATGCAAGCAATCCTCTTCGGACTGCAGATGATGATGCGCAGTGAAACTCCGGCTCTGGTTGGGAGCAAAACTCTTCTTGTACAGAAATTCCACGACTGGCTTCCAGAACTGCTGCCAGCCTTCAGCAAAGAAGAAGTGATCAAAGTGGCGGTTGACTTCATTGACGCATGCGACGCAGCCTCCGGGAAATTGCTTTTGTACAGAATCGTTCTAATCTTGAACTACACCAAGCTGGATCAAATCTGGGTGGATGAGAAAGACCGGAACCTGCTGGTAAAGAACTGCGTCAGGTGGCTTTTGCCGTACTGGACTCCAAACAACCGGTCAGACAATTGGCACGATCAAGTCCGATTGTGCTGCTCGGTCGTCGCTGAGCTCACACGATTTCCGACTCCTCACCTGCACGACTTCATGCCGAAACTCATCTCTGCTTACAACACCATTGCGGATGGACCGCCAGCGAGACGACGGTCCTTGTCTCTCCTTTTCTCAGATTCCTATCCGTTCATCAGTAAACCATCCGAAAACAATGATCCGTTTGACGAGGCGCTACTAGAACTCTCGTCTCTCATCTCTACAATTGTAAAGTTGAAGCTCGCACCAAACCCCAAACTTCAAGGACAGGATCTCACCGAGTACATTATCTCCACCCTCATGGTGCTACGATCTCTCCTCAAGAATGACGCGTTTCCGTCGTCGTGGCTCAGTCTGCACATCTACCACCACTCATCCGCCCTAACGACCTTGAACCACCTCTCGTCCCTCCTCATCTCTTCATACCTCCCTACACCAGAGGATGCAGATAGCTTCGACATGCAACTGTGGAAAACCTTCCTCGATACTCTCCTCAAGCTCGTCTCGTCTCCTGCTCTAACACTCGAGCTCTTTCCCGAACAAAAACGCCGCGCTGTGTGGAAAATTGCAGGTGACGTGCGCCAATATGGAGCCGACCTGTTACGCAAAGCTTGGGAGAGTTTAGGTTGGGAAGCTACCGCCGACGACCAGCGACGATACAATATCCGCAGACTAGGAGGCTATCAAGTGCAATACGTGCCCAGCCTGGTGGCACCCACCATCAGTCTTTGTCTGAGTATGCACGAGGGCCTGCGCAAGGTTGCGGTTGAGGTACTGCAAACCATGATTGTGAGTGAATGGGCATTAAGCGAAGACCTCGAGTTGATTGAGACCGAAATAATCGGTGCCCTCAACTCAATTCTGAAAGCGAAACCGGTGACGGCGAACGAAGCTGTCAGTCGAAAAATATTCATTGCGGAGTTGCTAGAATTATTCTCCACGATTGCGAACCAGCCAGATGATGCATTGTGGACAGCGCTCGAAGAGTTGGTGGGCACCATTGAAGAGTTGGTCGATCTACTCACCAGCACTGATCCAGAGGAGGAACAGTATTTGAGGAGTTCTTCCACAGCCGCATCGAACCACAACGGGCTTGCGCACAATGACCATCAACGGACCAGCAGCAAGGATGCAGACTCTCAAACTTCGGAGGCCAAAGAGCTTGCTCGTGCGAGGAGAAGCATTGATGGCCTGTCGCCATCGTCTCAGCAGCAGCGACACCAACACGGCCGCGACCGAGAGTACGGCGTGCACGCGCTGGAATGTTACAAGCAGCTCGCCGAAGAGTACGAGAGGAATGGCGATTATAAGAGGTTGGCCAAGACACATCGGGCGATTGCAAGAATCCACGAGGCGAGGGCGGCTAATCGGTTCGGTGGGAGGGAGGCGAACGTGAACGGGTCACGGATGGGGACGAGGGACGAGGACGGGGAGGAGGACGCGTTGTAAAGGCGTGCGGATGGTGAGGACAATGGAAGCGGAGCGTTGGAACTTGGGGCCCGAGGAGTAGGAGAAACAATGAGAAAGATCTGGCATTGGATGGGTCTGAGACCGTTGGGATGACCGATTCGGGAAAAGATTGGTACTTGCGTTCTAGGAGCGACCTGGCTTTCAACGATACCCCGATCTGTTTCCGAGCAAGATGAAGGGTGTGGAAATGGAGAGGATTTCGTTCTTTCTCGATTCTCCTTGTCACTTTTCTTTTGATTTTATGTTGACGTTTTGTACTTCCGCCATGATTTCAGACAGCAGAAAAAAAGCTCAGATAGACCTGTCCCTTCCCTTCTTAGGACTGCTGGGTTCTTCCTTGTCCCTCTTCTCTGAAGACACATTGACCGGACCGAGCAGACAATCTCAAACATCATCGCTCGGCTTTTACCAAGACCGCTCTGCTCTCGCCGGCTCCGGCACCAACAGGCTACACGATGGTCATGGGAGTTGTAGTTGTAGTTGTTGTTTGTTGTCAGTCAGTCTGCCTGTCTGTCATGCACCGCCCACGGAGATCATCCACTCCGCTCACAAACTCCATGTCCTGCATATACTGGGCCCGGTGTTGACGGGGGCGTCGGCATTACATACATAGGATCAGGATCAGATATCGTGAGACCCCGAGTCTTTCAGCGGAGCCCAGCGAGAAGCGCAGAGGACTGAGGACTCGAAAGAAAAGCAGGGAATGGAGCTCGGTGAAGCGAGCGTGGTTCGGCCGAAGGGCAATATGTTTCTGCCTACTACGAATCAATTGAGGACGGCTAGGGATGCAGGACCACCAGGAGACGGTGAAAGCGCAGCAACAGGAGGTGGATGGAATAGATAAATAGAGCAGTGACCATTTCCCATTCCCTTTCGCTTTTCTAATTCTCCCATTTTCTCATCTCGGTCTCCCTTTGCTTACCAAGACCCCCTTCCTATCGAGATTTATAGCCCAACGTACAGTACATACCTCGCTCGTTTAATCAGCCGACAGGCGCCCAGCCAACCCAGTCGCCCGCCGGAAGGGATTCCGTGCTCATTGATAAGATAATCAGTAGCTCCTGGACGTTGGTGGTGGTGGTGGTGGTGGATTCGTCTCCGCAAGCCGTGCGGTCATTGAAGGATCGATTGAAAAATAGAAAAATACCGTGAAGCCAGCTCTGCATCCCTGTCCTCCGCGCCTACATCTACTCCTTCGACAACCGCGTCTAGACCACGCGCTCTCAAATCTGCCGGAATGTCCTTCTTCCGGAACGTCAAGACCTTCCTGACGCCCTCGTCGTCGCAATCGCATCTCCCGTCCTCCGCGCCCGGCTTCACTACCGCAAAAACCGAGTCCGACCTATTCCCCACAACCAACCCTGCGGTCGACGGCGAAGAGTGCCTCCACGACTGCGAGTCATGCACCGTGCACTACCCCACCAAGTTCTCTATCGACGAGAGCGACAGACTCTTTGGCCACGTCAAGGGATTCAACGTCCATCTTCTTGTTGGCACGGGCAAGACGGATTGGGTCAGGGATGTCACTGACGAAAAGGGCTCGGTGATGCAGGCCGTAGGCAAGGTCGGCTTGGACCTGAGTGGGAAACGGGGCAGAGTGATGTTGAGTGCGAGTAATTTCCCCTCGGGAGAAGAGTGTCACGGCGAAGAAGAGGAACAGGGCACGAGTGACTGCATGCTACTGCCCAGCTGGGTTGTGGTTGAAAAGGTCAAGCCAAGTCAAGCGGGGACTCTAATGAAAGAGGTTGTGGAGAGAAGTGTCAGGAACGACATGCCGGTGGGAGCAAAGGGAGCGGAGGTCAACGGCAATGGCCATGTGCCATCGCCCGCAGGAGGACGAGACCAGGCCCTAGGAGCGCAGAACGAACAAGAGCATGAAGATATCCCTGATGTGTCTGGCTTGCAGATTGGAGGTGGCGCTGAGGCATCACAGCAAAAGAGCTCGCAGCAAGAGCAACAACCACCATCACAGCATACAGCGCTTGACCCTGCACCGCTACCGCCGTCAATATGCTCGTCCTTCAAAGTCCGCCCTATTCCTCATTCCTACCTCATCCTCATGTGCAGCCAAAAGACCCGCGACGCGCGTTGCGGCCAATCCGCCCCTCTCCTCCGAAAAGAATTCGAACGCATTCTGCGACCGATGGGTCTCTATCGTGACCTGCACGACGATCGGCCTGGTGGTGTGGGGATATATTTCATCAGCCACGTCGGCGGCCATAAATATTCTGCCAACGTGATGATTTATCGAAGGCAAGGACGGAAAAAAGAGGCGGGAGGCGACCATGTGGATGTGGACGGAGAAAAGTTGGAGAAGGAGGCGGTACAATTAATTTGGCTTGCGAGGGTGAGGCCGGAAGACTGTGAAAATATTGTGCGATATACGGTCTTGCAGGGCAAGGTCGTCAAGCCACAGAGGCAGTTGAGGGGTGGGTTCGATCGAGAGAGAGGAGTGACGAGTTGGTAGAGTCCGGCTCACAAGACGGACACACGGCATAACACATGGATTTGCACTGGATTGCATTAGAATGGCCATAGATGTTAGATGAACATAATGAAGGCCTGGGACGGTTGCTTGACATTCTTTAGCTCGTCAGTATCGACCTTTGAAGCTGGCCGCTGGAGTCTTATAAGTTTGCGTTTATATTTTCAAAGTTGGAATGTAGACAATAGTCTTGGTTTTGCCCAATGATCATGCCTCGACGAGGCTCAATACACCAAGCTTGGGAATAAGACGTCTCCCCTACTACCTCAGCCCACCGAGCTGACAAAGTCCCCGTTCGAAGACCCGAGGTCGCCAGGATCTCAAGGGCCTCGTCCCAAGAACCGAGCTCAGAGAGGGCTGGCCGCGAGGCAAAGGATTCGGAGGGTTGCTCTCAGTTCTGTCGACAGCGAAAGTAGACATTAATGGGGGTGCTTGTTAATGGCTCCGCAGATTCAGTCGAAAACGCCACGGACACTCGACCATAAAACTACCGCGATGGGTGGGCAGGGAGTGTCCGCGACACAGAACTTTTGTTATGAGAGAAAGGAAAAAGGAAGAAAAGAAACCCAAGGCGAGAGGATGGAAAAGTACCGAAAGAATAATGCCAAGAGGCGATGACGCTAGTATTCATTGGGATTAGTGCATCTTGATCGCCTCCGCCATCGGCTTGCCCCAGTTCAAAGGTTTTGCCTGCGGCGGTGATCCTTGTCCCATTCATGCCTGCCCGCCCTCTCTGGATTCATTATTGTCTCTTGCCAAATTTCCAGCAACATCGCATTCAAACATGGCTGCCCCCGCGGATATTGAGCAGATGAACAAGCTCAGAAAGACCCTGGGTCTCCCCTTGTTGAGCGTAAGTGGACAACCTCCACAATCATCTGAAGGACCAACATTCAAAGAATCCAAAAGAATCGACGAGGACACCGACAGCGACCAAGATGATGAACCCGCATCTACCCTAGAGACCCGCGAAGCCGCCGGGTATGGCAACTGGAAACAACTACGCGAGGAAGAGAAGAAGCGCGTGCTCCGCGAACAACGGAAAAGGGACATCCAGAGACAACGAGATGCCGATGCCAAGGCTAGGAAGCTTGAGGGCAAGGGGTTGGGAGACGTCGGTGATGACGACGACCTCGATACGAAGGCCTGGTTGAAAGGCCAGAAGAAACGGCAGTCTAAAATCGAGCGAGAACGTGCTGAGCGGTTGGAACGGGAGCTTGCGGAGCGTGAAAGAGATGCTGCTGTCGAATATACCTCCAAGGATCTTGCTGGGGTACAGGTCGCGCATGAAATCGGTGATTTTGACGAAGGCACGGGAGAACAGATTTTGACGCTGAAGGATACCGAAATCGGCAAAGGCGATGACAGTGAGCAGGAAGATGTGCTGGAGAACGCAGATCTTGTTGCGAGAGAAAAGGTCAAGGAGAAATTAGATCTCAAGAAGCGAAAGGTCTACGATGTCAATGATGACTCGGAAAAGGGAGTACTGTCGCAATACGATGAGAGGAAGCGAAAAGCTTTCACCTTGGATGGCCAGGGCGCCACCATCGAAGAACGCGAGGCAAAGCGGCAGCAAATCGGCGAAAAACTCAAGAATACCGTCAGCTTGGATATTCTCAAGGCGGAACCCGTTTCGGACTACTTGGAGATCAAGATGAAGAAGCCGAAGAAGGAAAAGAAGTCGAAACGCCAGAAACTTTTGGAAGAAGATGACGATATCTTTCCTCCACAAAATGGTAGCAATGGTGACGCTATGGAAGTTGACTCTGGAAGCACTGCAGCCGCTCCAACGCGGCCTCGTGCTGCTGACGATATTTTCAACGATGACGATGATCTTGCAAGCGCCCTTGCAAGAACCAGGGCCGCAGTGCTAAAGAAGCAGAAAAGAAAGCCCGAAGATATCGTCAAGCTATTAAAACAAGAAGAGAACGATGAAGCTGAAGCTGAGGGAGAGGCCAATGGCGGTCTCGTTCTGGACGATACAACGGTCTTCCTCGATAATTTATCGTCGCGGCCGCAGGAAGATCAGCCTGTACGGGGCGTGAAGAAGTCTGTTGAGAAAGTCAAGTCAGAAAGTCCTGCTCCACAGATGAAGCACGAAGATGAAGATCATCCTATGGTGGAGACTTATAGTGGGATTGAGAATGAAGAGGAGCTCGTTGATCGAATCAAGCGCGAGCGCTCAACCGTGACGCCAGAAGTGCCACCCACGGGCCTTGAAGAGGAAAAGACACTCGATCAGGGGATGGGGGCGGCCCTCAGTCTTCTTCGACAACGTGGCCTTCTCAAGGAAAGCGATGCCACGGACCGCAATACTCTGTACAAAGATCGGCAAAAATTCATCATCGAAGCGCGTTTGCGGGAGCATGAAAATGAACAAAGAGCTCGAATGCAGCGCGAGAGAGATCGTCAGTCGGGCAAATTGACAGGCATGTCTGTCAAAGAACGAGAAGAACACGCACGCTGGCAGAACACTCAGCGAGAGCACCAATCTTCCATCCAGGCTGCTGCCACCTTCAACCGAGAGTACAAGCCGGACGTGCAGATCAAGTATGTGGACGATGATGGTAGGATCATGAACCAGAAGGAAGCCTTCAAGCACCTGAGTCATCAATTCCACGGCAAGGGTAGCGGGAAACTGAAGACAGAGAAGCACCTCAAAAAGGTTGCAGAGGAGAAGAAGCGTGAAGCGACCAGCATTCTGGACAGTAGCAAGGCGACAGGAATGAGCAACGCACAGGGCACGATGGGCAAGAAGAATAAGGAGGCTGGCGTAAGGCTGGCCTGATGGGGGACCTGCGGGATGGTCATGGTGGTGCATGTGTCCAAGCTGTGTGTGAAAATGCACTGTGTAAAATGTTTAACATAGAGAGGAGTCAGTCCTTTGTAAGGCTATGGCTCCTGAGCAGGGGGGCGATGGGGATGCCGGCAATGTTGGAGGAAGAGAGCCGATCATTCGGTGGGCTTCTTACTCCGAATAGCTGCAACCAAGAGAAGCTTTTAGGCTGATGCACTCACTTGCAGAGATAATACCCCTTAAGCTGTACCCAGTTGACCCAGTAAGCCCCTGGAAAGCCAGCACGGTTATTGGCCGCGGCCAGCTACGCCCAGGTCTAGTGGCCCGTCGAGGCAATTGGAGTTTGCAGGCGAGCCAGGGAACGCGCCCTACTCCAAGTTGAGGCTCCAGGTACCAAAAAGGCAAAGGAGAGAACGGTATAAAATTTTTTTGGAGAAGCAATTTCACGAAATCGAACTGGACTCATCATCGCAAGTCTTCAGCCAAACTCTGTCATCTCATCTTTATTCATTTGTGCGGATACGGGAAGAGATAGATATTTGTTTCTTTCTTTCTTGATCAAGTCTTCTTGAGTCAATTGTACAACACGGACGAACGAGCTTGAAACTCCAGCTTGAGCTTGAGCTGGCTTCGGTCCCGGGATAGACTTTTTGCTTGCCTTTATAACACTTGTAACTCATCATTGTTTTATTAAACCCATCCATCATCACTCTCACCATGCTCTCGACCCTTCGACCCGCGGCTGCTCGCTCGGCCCTGCGCCGGCAAGCAGCGACGACCGCTCAAGCAATCCAGATCGCAAATGCTTCAACATGGGCAAATGTCAAGGAAGGTCCTCCTGATGCCATCTTGGGCATCACCGAGGCCTTCAAGAAGGACAGCTTTCCGGAGAAGATCAACCTGGGTGTTGGCGCATATCGTAAGTGGCCTTGCCATGGGTAAACCCCCTTGACTTGTCTTTTCTGTTGGACACACTCCCCCATATTCTCATGGACCCGCTGACACCTTCTGTTTGTGGGTTTGCAGGCGATGACAAAGGCAAGCCCTACGTCCTCCCCAGCGTGCGCACCGCCGAGCAGAAAGTCGTCTCTTCCTCCCTCGATAAGGAATACGCAGGCATCACCGGCGTGCCCTCGTTCACCAAAGCCGCTGCGCTGCTCGCCTACGGCCCGAACTCAAAGCCAATCCAGGAAGACCGCATTGCCATAACCCAGTCCATCTCCGGAACCGGCGCGCTGAGAATAGGTGGCGCCTTCCTCGAACGCTTCTACCCGGGCGCAAAGACAATCTACATTCCCACTCCGTCTTGGGCGAACCACAAGGCCGTCTTTTCCGACTCCGGGCTCGAGGTCAAGCAGTACCAATACTACAACAAGGACACGATCGGCCTGGACTTCGAGGGCATGATTGCGGATCTGAGATCTTTCCCCGATGGCTCCATCGTTCTGCTGCACGCCTGCGCACACAACCCCACAGGGATCGACCCTACCCAGGAACAATGGCAGCAGATCGCCAAGGTCATGAAGGAGAAGTCCCATTACCCTTTCTTCGACATGGCCTACCAGGGCTTCGCGAGCGGGGACACCAACCAGGACGCCTATGCCGTGCGTCTGTTCATCGAACAAGGCGTGGGTCTCTGTCTCTCACAATCCTTTGCCAAGAACATGGGTCTGTACGGCGAACGAGTCGGCGCGTTCAGCATCGTGTGCGACAGCGCTGAAGAGAAGAAGCGAGTTGAGAGTCAGATCAAGATCCTTGTGCGTCCGTTGTATTCCAACCCTCCGGTCCATGGAGCGCGGATCGCGAGTGAGATTCTAAATGATGCGGGCTTAAACAAGCAGTGGCTTGGGGAGGTGAAGGGCATGGCGGACCGGATCATTGAGATGAGGGCGCTATTGAAGAAGAATCTCGAGGAGCTGGGAAGCAAACATAACTGGGATCACATCACGAATCAGGTACGTTTTTCAGCAGTCCAAGGAGCCTATAGGACATTTCTCTAGTTTTTCTTCTTCCCACTTTCTTTCCCTTCCCTTGTGTCATAGATGATAACGACAGACGGGACGCTGATACCTCCCTTCCTTTCTAGATTGGCATGTTCGCGTACACAGGCCTGAAGCCGGAACAGATGGAGACGCTCGCAAAAGAACACTCCGTGTACGCGACCAAGGACGGACGTATTTCGGTGGCGGGCATCACCACGGACAACGTCAAGAGGTTGGCCGAGTCAATCTTCAAGGTGACTGGTTAGACCTGCCAATCGACTCAAGACTCTTCGATGTTGTGGTATGGGCACGCGAGGATTTTGGGTACCGATGGAACTTGGAAGACGCGAACGTGATTAGACCCCTCTCGCGAGGGTGCAAGCCAGCAACAAAGACCAGTGCTGTCAAAGAAGTGAGGAAGACATTGGCGATCTTGCCCATGACGCAGAGAGCGCGGTGGAAATTGTCTAGTTCAGCGTTCATCATCTGCAAGTTCCTGCTTGATACCAGCACAGCACCATGTATCAAAATGACAGTGGGACAGGGTCAGCATGCATCTTTTTTTTTTCTTGTTCAAAGACAGAAGGGAGGGGGGAAAGGTCCAGCTAGATTGATGAGCAAAAGGCGAAAGAATATGAAAGGTGTAGATTGAGCGTCACACCGACGCTCTCTCTCTCTCTCTCTCTCACACACACACACACACAGTTTGGAGTTGTGCATCACACTTCGAAATGGCGCCAGGCATGCATGTACGCTTCGAGGCACAAGACAGCAAATGTTCCCGTGTAGGTGTTGGCTGGTGGTTGCTATACTCGACGCTTTCCACAGAGTACAGAATACGGGGTATCTGGGACCGACAAGCAGGGGCCCAAGCGCTCTTGTGACATCCGCATGGTCAATTGAAAAAGAGAGGGCGTCTAGGCCGGAATCAGCCAATGACGAGGAACAACATGTCCCAGCAAAGAGGATTTGAAGATGTGTAGGATCAAAATCTAACTTGGACTCATGGGTCATGGAGAAACTAGGTACCTCGTAGTTGCTCGTAGATACACTGGCTCGGTGGGCAGTGACCACCGATCGACCTTTGATTGACGATCTGGAGGTTGGGAGGGGGGAGGGGGGCGGCACGGAGATGAGTACCGGAGGATCACACCACAGACAGGACCAGGGAGGCTTGAGCAGAGTAACCGAGATATGTAGAATGCACTTGTCGAGAATTTAGGTTGTTCCCCGATGATTCCTGCGAGAATGGGCGGTTGCGCTGGACTTCGAACAAGCAGTCAGAGCCGTGTAGGAACGTGGACCTCCTTTGACCCCCCAATCTCTCTTCCTCCTCTGTCTCTGTTGCAGCCATCACAAGCGGCCATGTGGGCGACATGCGGGTGGCATGCAACTAACAGACGATGTCCCGGTTCCCCTCTGCGACAAGTGGCCCTATGCTCTCCGTCCACCGTCCACCCGGCGTTCTTCTGGGGGAACCGTGACAACGGCTCGCTGGGGGGGATACTTCCAACCGCAGACAGCTATTTCCGCGCTGTTTGCTGCTGGCTGCAGCTAGCCTCACCGCTGAAGACCCTCCGACCTCTCTTTACCTTGGGTTTTGCTCAATTGCTTGCAAGCAGAGAAATGCTCAGGCTGGCAGGGTCCGCGGGTGCAGGCGGTCCCGGCCGCAGTGGAGGGCTGTCTAGAACCGTGAGCATCTCAACAGGGCCATCGTTGGGCGTCCTGGATCAGTGGACCTTTTGTTCGTATACCATGTTCTCAGCAGCCAGCCCAGACAAATGCCGGCCAAACTGCGTAAGGAATTCGAGTCAAGGTGGGGGAGAAGTGGTGCTTCTTTCGGAGCATATCTTTTGGCCTTCGAATTCCTGCCCCAACCGAGTATTAGTGGTAGACAAGAGTGTTCACTGTTCAGTGGCGTAAATGCTAGACCCTGCCAGCCCTGGCGCCCACGGCAGCCGAATGGGCGCCCATCTGGTGCCATCTGCGGGTTGACATCATTGGCTCCGTGGGCCCCTTCGCCTACCCATCGGCGCGCCTCTGCTTGCTTTTTCGTCTTTTCTCTTGCAGCTTCAGCGTCCGCGTGGGCTGCATGGAATGGGGGGGGACCAATCATGCCCTAATCCAGCGCTTAGTTCACCCTTTGGAGGACACAATCGTTCTGGCAGCCTCTATATACTGCTCGTGACCCTCTGTGTTGCTGCTTTGGAATTGATGACTCGTGCTCGTCTGGCTCCATGCGACATGGATGGGACCCTGCACGCTTGTCGACGTCATCGCGCAGGTGGAATTCAGGCAAAATTATTGACGTCCCAGAGAGCAGCGTAGCAACAACTCAAGAGGCAGGGTCAGTCAGAAAACGAGGGGCAAAGGGCTCAAGCTCCTCCACCGCGATGGCAACCATAGCTGGAGGAGTTGTTCGCCGTCGAATTTTCGATTGCAGGCGGACTGAACAGGTCGCCAGAGGAGTGAACTGTAGTTGCACAAGGCATGCCGTCAGCTTTCCCAATTCATGCTGTACCGGTGTCGATCTGCCGTATTCCTGGCCCATAACACGACTGTTTCGGGGATGGATCCAACTGTGCGGCTGCTCGTTGGCTTGGGGCTCTGGGGAGTCTAAATAATGCTCCTGCAGGATAAGAGCATGTCTCTTTCCAAGCTGGAGTGGCAGAAGACTCGTGGGCGACCCCAGCGAAAAAGCATTCCACCTTCCGAAGTCCGCTAGGAGGTGGTGCTGGGTGCGATTGGGGAGCCACGAATAGTCACCTCATCTCTTGGAGTCACTCTTGCTCCGTCAAGCACGGCATTCCCCACGCGACAAGCCACCTCGTCAGCTTACCGAGGCCGAGATGGCTCGCTGAAGAGAACGGGACGTGGTTTGTCACAGAAAGAGATGTGTGTGTGCGTGTGCGTGTGCGTGTGTGTTGTCGATGGTCGTGAGGAGGAGGAGGAGGAGGAGGAGAGGGAGGAGAGGGTCTCGTTGGCAATCGGAAGGAGGGAGAATGAATGATGGGTCTCGAACTGACTGACTGAGTGACTGACTGGAGGTGGGATTGCGGGTATCTGGCCTATCGTTCTGATACCCATAGGCTCCAGTTTTATCCCTTGCTGTTCCTAGCCGATTGAGTGTTGAAAATCCCTTCAGCCTCGAACTGGTCGATAGTAAGAGTACATACTTAGGCCCAGCGAGCCAGCAGCCGCCAAGCAGACAACTCCTCCCCGGATTTATCCTCTTGCCTCAGCTCTGCCTCAATCACTGCTGAACCCATCTCCTTTTTTGTTTTTTTTGTCTTTTTCAGACGAGCATCCGAGTAGACGACAGGGTCGACTCGCACCTCGGTCACAGTCGAGTTTCAGGGTCCTAGTTTCTTCCTTCTTGTTCCATTCGTGTCTCTGACCGCGTGAAGTGGGATTGCGCTTGGCCCCCGCTTGTCTTTGGAACGAACGACGCTTTCGGTGGTTGATCTGCGCTGCCGGACGGAGATCTTGGGCTCGGTTGCTCGCGAGACAGAACGCATATCGCAGGCCAGCATCGCAGGCAGTAGCCGGTTGACCCGAGTTTCGCGCAAAGAGCAGGGCCTGAGGTACGTTAGCACGGCTCTTCTGCCCCTCCCGGTCATCCAGGGTTGCGCATTTGGCGCCTTTCACATCTCTGTGGTTTTTTCGGGTGGGTGTGGGATTACCGTGGTCGAGTCCAAGGGAGAGGACCCAGAAGACCCAGGCAACCCAGACAACCCAGAATAACCTCCTTCACACAGCGGCGACCCTGGCCCCGCCCTTGCAATCCACACAGAGAAGACAAGAGACCGCCAGATCTGTTCCTGATATCATTTTGCAGGTCGTTTCTGCTCAGCCTCAACCCCGAGCCTAACCACCTGGTGAGGAATTCTCGCTGCAGACTCGAGGGTATTATTTTGCTTGGTTGAGCGGCTGGATCGAGCTTCGGGATCAGCACCCAAGCGACAATACCAACAACCACATCCGACGTACGTCACTCTGCTGCTGGTCGAAGGGCTGCTGCTTCAAAATTCATCCCAAGCCAAGTCAAGTCGTTGCGGGAAACCACTGCCGGCACGCCACCAACAACACCTCCTGGCATTCGTGCGCTGCCGTGTTCTTTCCTCCTGCCATCTATAACGAAGGAGTTGATCATTTGCTGATTGCTGATTGCTGATTGCTGATTGCTGATTGCTGATTGCTGATTGCCAAAAGTATCCTCCTCTTCCCCTACCCTGGTTGTGCCTTGCATTGATATACTGTTTACCTTTTTCCTTTGTGGATTCCAGAGGTCGTTAGTCCCCGTTGCATATTTTGATTCGAGCCTTGCGGCACGGGCACCAGGTTTTAAAAAGTCTCAATTTCACCATCTTGCCAAACCGCTGACACGATGCTTGCAGGCAGTCCCATTTCCTCTAGCATCCTATCTATCATCCTTATCTTCACCAACGGCCCCTACACTTCCGCCACGGACCACTCCCCCCCCCCCTGGTCTGGATAGCCAGAAACGTCGGTTACCGCCCTTGACAAGAACATCGACAAAAAAACGAGCGAGTCGGTGACGCCCTCACCCAGCCAGTCCCAGCCCACCCCTCAGAGCCTCTTTTGTACCTTGCACGCACACACACACACACACACACACACACACAACCCCCCCGGCTCTGATGCCCAGCACACCTACCGCCATGTCCGAGGAAGTAAGTACGACAAAAGCAAATCGAACTGTTTCAAGGCAGTGGCTCAAAGCATCGTAAATGCTCTATAGCTGACTCGTTGACCCGATCCAGATCGAATTCGATTTCGGCGATAATGTCGAGAAGAGCACCTTTGAGCAGATCCTTGACATGGACGAGGAAGACGACCGTGACTTCAGCAAGTCGATAGTGTTTGGATTCCTCGAACAAGCAGAACAGACCTTTGGCAAAATGGACAGTGCAATGTGAGTCCGCATGCCTTTCGACCACGGCCAGAGTCTCGCTGGATAGGTTGGGCGTCGGCTGACGTTGTCTTGAACAGGAAGGACAAGGACCTCCCCGAGCTTTCCAGCCTGGGCCACTTTCTCAAGGGCTCGTCTGCCACACTCGGCTTCACGAAGGTGAAGGATGAGTGTGAGAAAATCCAGCACTACGGACACAAGAAAAACGAGACCGGCGAGGTCGATGAACCAGATGAGGACAAGTGCCTGAAACTCATTGGTGAAAGCATCGCCGAGGCCAAACGAGCTTATGAAGTCGTTAACGACCTCATGAAGAAGTTTTATGCCGATCCTTGATAAACTCTGGTTTCACGAGATAAACGTTCCTGCGCCCGAGCGCTGGCACAATACCGCCTGGTACGATGTTCAACAAGGAACCATTGCATTTGGACCTCGACTAGCTGGCTTGTCTACCAAGCTCAACGACAAGACGGCGCTCATTCGCAGCTCTCACGTACTACGCGCGATGCATGTGTTAGCATGGACATCGGTCAAATCACCTCAAAAGATTCCTTTTTACATATGGCATGCTTTAGACTGCAAGTTGTGTTGCTTCATTGCTTCTATTTGGGACAGGGTGGAAACCGGGCATCGTTCATCATCGAACTGAGGACTGACAGAACAGAGATTTTTGCGCTCCCGTTCGGGTCGTGAGCCCAAGAACGGATACATAGTAACCCCTTTCATCATGCCCCCTTCTTTCGAGGCAATCTTCTCTGCTCTAGCTGTCTTCTAACTGTGTCTTTGACTAATCATGTAGCTACAGTCGTTTTCAAGCGTTTATCTCCGCCTCGATCTCGGCTTACACGCGCATTGTTCGGTCGCGGTGATTCCTTATCGGCCACGGAAACATGCCGTTTTCCTCCTTGCTGAATAGGCTGATCTCCCGATCTTACTTGTTCCGAGAAGCGGTTTGCTCTGACGCAAAATAACTGTCACGAGTTTCGTCCACCTGCCGCACCACATCAAGCCAGCAAGCCAACCTCTCCACCAGCTGAAAGAAAGGCTACCCTGGAAAGCGAGATATCTCCCTCTCCGGCCTGACGCGACAAATGCGACAAAACCAAAAGGCCACAGGGTCAAAAAGATCAAGATTATCAGCCAATGACCTAGGCCCGATCTTCCGATCGCTGGGCGCTGGAATACGCAATTTATAAGTCATCGCTTCTTGTGATTGAGACCTTGTCGGTATCGTCGATGTTCACTCGGGCACCACCGCTATCGCTGTCAGGGGAACCTGCATCTGTGCATAGTTGAAATGATGTGGCGTGGGGAGGAGTAGACGGCCGATCAGCCAGATCGTGATCTCCACCATCTGACTCTCTCCGTGGACGACCAGAAGAAGACTTGGTACCGGCAACATGGGGCCCAAGGTGACCACGATACTCCGCTGGGATGGGGTCGTTATCTAGATCTCTGTCGAGACTCTCTCTCACCTCGCCTTCTGTTAAATGACCATGGGGCCGGATCATGGCGGTGGGGTTTGTGTTGGTGATGGTCATGGATGCAGTGTGACTCACCAGAGCGGTGCCTGATCCGGCCTGATCGGTTGTGCCCCTCGATTGTGCATATGTAATTTCAGCAAGGAGTCCAGCATGTCGGCTTTGTCTCTGGCGATCTCTATCTTGGATCGCCAGACTTTGAGGTGCTGCGGGCTGTTGCCAGCTGGAGATGTCACGCTTCCACGTACGGTTCTGTCTCTGAGCCTGAGGTCTGTCGTTGTTTGTCAGTGTTTGGGGATAAAGTCTGTCGAGAAGGGCGGGAGAGCGCGAAGGCATGGATGGGATTTGTTCGTGTGATGCAGGCAGAGGCATTGTGATTGCAGGTTTGACGCGCTTGGAGAGCGGTCGTTCTGCTTTGGCGGAGCGAGCTCAGGTAAACGGGAAGAATCGTGTTGATGAAGAGGGTTCGAGATGGAAGTTGGGATGGCTGGTTGGGAGGGAGGAAAGATATTCATCCTGAAGAGGATTAAGAAGGTTGAAAGCCAGGAGGTCAGCGGAGGGGATCATATCGCCCGGTTGTTCTGTCTTTGTGTCTCTGTCTGTGTCTGTGTCTATGTTTGCATTTGCATTTGCGCTTGCGTTTGTTTTTTTGATTATCTTATGTTTGGTCTCGGTGATGGTACTGTGAGAGAGCACCGACATCCTTCCTTTGTGACAATTACTCCTTGCTTGCGCGCTTCCTTCCTTGCTCGCTCGCCCGTCCGCTCTCCTCCTCCTCCTCCTCCTCCTCCTCCTCCTGCTGCTGCTGCTGCTGCTGCTGCTATTATCTGGGCCCTCGACTCTTGCGATGCTTGAGTGAAGCCGAGACGGTTTGACACGCCCACGCCCATGCCCGCCATGGGCCTGTCTGGGAAAGGATTGTCTCGGTCCATCCATTCGTTGTCCTAGAGGCCCAGAGCCCTTCGGACGCCTCGCAGGGGCTTTCCCTCTACCTTGCTCGTGGCCTTACCCTTGCGGTTGCACGGTTAGCCAGCGAGGGCCAGACTAGTCGAGTCACCCCCGTACATGTTGTGTGATCAACTGACTCTGAGGTAACGGTCCCCACGTACAGAATCCTCCCCCCCCCCCCCAAAAGTCACTCGTCGCGCAAGGCTGGTGGCCCCTGACGAGACCAGACAATGAACTTGGCTGATCGACCGATCTGTAGCTATGTAATTGCCTGTGTGTGTCCTCACCTACTTACCTACTCATCCACGCACCTATCAATGTGTATATGAATACAGCCATCTGCCTAGACCCCACTTCGCTCGACTAGACCGGACCAGCGGACCAAGGTCTAGAGTGCCTCGATCTATGCGTGTATACCTAGAGGTAAGCGTGCAGGCGGGTTCCGTTCACGGCAAAGCAAGAGATTAAGAGAACGAATCATGAATCTGGAAGGGCAAGTGCAAGTAGAGATGAAATGACAGTTTTGAGATAAATAGTAGCTGATGAACGGACAAGCATTTTTTGGTTAATGCATCAGCCACACACAACTCCTCTCAAGAAGGCAGCAGAACAAATTCTGGATTGCCCTCGACAGCGCAGCACAAGTAAGAAGAAAACGACTAGTCAGTGCTCTCAAAAGAAACTCGCCCTCGAACAAAGACGATCTGGTAACCCCCATGTGAACCCTACCTTGTCCCTCAAGCCGGTGTAGCCAGCCGTTATTGCGCCGCGATCAAACATTGCTGACCCCCAAATTGCCAAAGGTCCTCCCCACCAGACTCCTTGCTGTCGGATATCCTCGGTACTCTCCGTTCCCAAGCCAGTTCCCGACAGGCTTCGTTTGCTCCAACCACCGGGGTTTCTCTTGTTTTCATACAAATTCCAGAAACAAAACTTACTAGTCACCACGGACCCACGACGACAGACATGACTGTGCTTGCATGTCATGGGCACAGTGACTGAAACCTCGACTCTCTTCACTCGGTCGCGACGTCCTCGGAGGACATGCCGTCCGGTAGAGAGCTCGACACTTCTCTATCGTCGGATCAACCCGATCAAGGGATTTGTGGGGGCCGCCATGGCCATGCTATTTCAAGGTCTGAAACCCCTCCCTCGTAGGCCGGGAAAGGATCAATATGCTCATCTACATGACATATCGTTCCTGTCGGTTGTCCTGGAGAGCCAATGGCATGGAAGTCCAGTCACCGGGTATCGCAACGGGGTGGGACATGTGACCGTGACGAGGGCGAAGACCATAGTCCTCTGGCTCAGTACTCTGTGGTCTCCGAATGGCGCTTCCGGGATAATAGAGCGAATGACCGCCGTAGGCAGGATCCGGATAGCCATAGTTGTCCAGAGGGGATGGTGTTGGCAACGTTCCACTACCCGGCGAACCCCATACAAGAGCGCCCAAGTGGGGAGATGCACTGCCGCTAGCGGTGCCATTGGCCGGAGGCTCTAGAGGTTGAGGGGGACCATATGCTGGTGGATGGGATGTGGTAGGTCTTTGCTGCGGTGCACTTGTATAGTTCTGGAGAGAATGGGTAGTCAACGGTGGTGTCGAGCGAGGGGAGTTCTGCCCAAAGTCAGACCGCATGTGAGGGGGCAGGGAATGAGTTTGGGGCAAGAATCCATAGTCTGAACCCTGACGCTGGATGCCAATGGCGATAGGCGGAAGCTCTGAATTGGGTGAAATTGACAAGGTTCTATCTGCGGGCGAAGCTGTTGAGTTTCTCGAGGAGCCTGCTGAAGTAGACCCGTAGACGGACTGACTCTGAGGCAGCGCCGGTGCCAACTTCGCATTGACCTCTGCGGCTGCTTCCTCCAGTGTGCCCGTGTGAGAATTCTGATGCCTGGTCAGGGTCGTCCGTCTTGTGAAGGTCTTCTGACAGTTTGCATATTCACACTTGTAGGGACGCTTTCCCGAGTGAGTGCGTCGGTGCCGTGCAAGAGAGCTGGAGTCAGAAAATGGCTTGTATGAGGATTAGTCTCAGGTATGGTAGATCGAATGCTGGTCGGTATTAAAGACTTACTTTTCCACAGTTCCCACACAAGTGGGGTTTCTCTCCTGTGTGGACCCTGAGATGCACAGTCAAGGCAGACCGTTGTATAAATGACTTGTTGCAATTTGGGTGATCGCAAACATGGGGCCTGTCGCCGCTATGAATGCGTTCTTCCTGAAGTTAGCGGGCCGCTCATGCTAGATAGATGTGGAGGCTCCTCACCGTGCCTGGCAAGGTCACTGCGTCGCGCAAACCCTTTCGAGCAGGTGCCGCAAGGAAACGACTTGGTGGCTGTCTCGTTCTTTACTTTAACAGGCGCCAGGTTCCCGTCCGAACCCGTGGTCTGGCTGTCATGCCCCGGCATGCAGCTGCTCGGAGCGTACAGTTGAGGGCTATGCTGGGGGGCCGCCATCATATTATATGGCAGCACATGAGACTGTTGGATTGATTGCGAGTGGTGAGCCAGAGTTGGCCCTTGGTCCATACCATATGACGCTTCGCCGTCCATCTGTAGCGACTGCTGAAATCGGCTCAGCTCGTCGCTGCCTTCAGGATGATTTCTCCTATTCAGGAGGGTCGAAACGTCCATTCCCCCCTTGGCGGGAAGCTGCAGCAGAGGTGCCAAAGCTCGTTGGTAGGGAGCCCGGCTTTGAGGGATTGGAAGGCGTGGGAAATCGAGCCCGAGGTTTGATGACTGCATGGTTTGGGCCGTTAGCAAATGGCACACAGTAGAAACAGTCGGAAACGATGGGGGTCGAGACATTGAAAAACACCTTGGCCCTCAAGGGATCAGTGCCAGGTTAAAGAGGGTCAAGGCGCCGTGGCACGTAGGCGCTCACGCTCTGGCCCTCGTTGATCCGACGACCACAATGACCGAGGGCCTCAATGCACACAGCATTGTTTGTCCGAGCGAGACCGCCACTAAGAGGCCTGGGGGGGTTTGTATCTCACCTCAAGCAACAGCAGATGTTTGACGAGATGCTGAAAGGAAAACACGAAAGGGGGGGAAGCTGAAAGGTGGCGGATGAGCAGGCCTACAGCCCGACTGGAATGTAAGAAAACAAGGGGAGCAGCAATGCTGGTATTCCCTTGGCAACCAGCCAATTCTCCTCTGCGAGACACTTCTTTGTCGACGCCAATAATTCGGATCTGTGTTCTTGTGACGGAAAACTGGCAGAAGTCTGGTCTGGATTGAGACAGTAATGGTTCTCGGTCTCTGCCAATCGGCCTGGGGGTGAGGCAGACGTCGGGGCTATGTCTGGCGCGAGCGTGACGAGGATAGAATTTCGGTCCTCGTGAATCACTTGCCACGTTCTCGGGAGGCTCTTGGGATTCTGGAACTCGGATCTGCCGCTCCAGGCGGTATTTGGTGGAAATGAACGAGGTGTGTTTGTTGCCTTCAATCTTCAATCGGCCCTCACATCCGACTCGGTCTCCAATACCCCAATTGCCAGCCGTTAGAGACAATCCCAATGCCAATGAAATCGTCCCTCCAGAATAGAGAGGTCGATCCAATTGTCGGGGACCAGAAAGTGAAGACTAGTGTTGATTGTCTTTGTAGGGAGCATCGGAGCGGTGGCTGCTGGAGACGAGAGTGTAGGGGCCGGAGGGTGGAGGGATGCTGATGGTTCTGGATCGTGAGTGCACAGAAGATGTCGAGTTGATTGAAGGGAGTGACCGTGGTGGAATTGATAGTTGAGCACAGAGCAAGCCGTGCATCGAGCGCGGTCTCTTTGGGAGGAACCGGAGTGGCAGGAGTGGCAATAGCGGTAGCGACAAGGTGGAATCGGGAGCATAGGCGGAGAGGGAGAGCACAGACAGACTCAGGCACGGATCGTCTGAGAAAGGGCCACAGCGTCCAGGGAGGGAGGTGAAGATTTCTTTATTTCTCGAGGGCACTGCCAGGACCAGCTGGAGTGGCATAATAGAAAGCAGGTCACGATTCCAAACACATCATGACTTGGTGTTTAAAGCAAGTCGTTGTCGGCGGTCGTCGGTCGGCGCAGTTGCAGAGTTTGAGGTTGTTTGGTGGTGGAAACGCAGGATGGAGTTTGGGGGGGGGGAGCCACTCTGGGCCTATTACTAGCCCCCTCTGGGCCCCCTGCCCAATGTGTAGGCTGATGAACTGGGGGTGCCAATGACTGCCAATGACTGCCAATGACTGCCAATCCGAAACAGCTTCGGGCCCTCACATGCCTCGCAGGTGCCTCGCAAAAAAAGCAGCCACCAGCAGCCAAGCCGGCCCAACTCAACATCCCCTTTGTTCTATCTCGGTCTACGAGGTAGTTTCTCACACTTTGCGTTCCTACTAACTTAGGTAGGTAGGCTCGGGCAAATGAGGTCGAGCCCCAGCTGCGTATTTTACTCGTTCCACGCGAGTCACAACCATGCTCTCCGCCACACAGTCCCTGCATTGGGGTCTAACCTTAACGGCTCTTGGGGCTCTTTCAGACCTCATTCCTCATACAACTGCAGTTCCATGAATGATGAGAAGAAACACTTCAGCTTCCGCAGCAGGAGAAGCCCGCTCGCATGTGTCTTGCTGTTTGTTTGCTGCCGTGGACGACACTAACCCGGCCCAGGTAATCACCTCTTTGGGCCGCTAACGACCATTGAACAGACGTCAGCTGTCATCTACCGAGAGGCGACATGACCCCTCCTTCCTCCCCCGTCAACTGGCAGCTTGTACCCAGTACTGGGTCGGCGGCAATTCTTGGCACCTGCCATTGAGACAAGCAAAAACCGCCTAGCCTCGCCAGGCCATATGGCTGTCTCGGGCTGTCATAACCTCTCCTCCTTCCCATCGTCTCGGAACCTCTTGCAACCTCTTGCAACCTCTTGCACCCTCTTGCTAATTCCAAGTCTGCACTTGCCATCTGCCATCTACCATTCGCCGTTCCCATGCGACTTTTGTGTCCTAAGCTTCCACCATGTCGTCCTCGTCCCCGAAAGCGTCCGCCCCTCCATCCGGAACCTCCTCGCCGACTGGAGCCATGCCCGCACGCGATCGTTCAGCGGGGCGAAACGTTCACATTTACGACTCGAACGATGCTACTACCGAAATTGACGGCTTATTACTCTAACCTGGTGTCACTAATGTAAACTTCTATACCATGATCGAGATCATTGTTATGTTTTCGAGCCTCTTCTTTCTACAAGATGAGAATAAACCGAAGATCGAGAGAGACAACCATCCGCTACAACCTGGAAAGTATTATATTGTTGCCACCGCTTCTTTCGAAGTCAACAATGAACCATGGCTCGTACGAACAATCAGTCCCACGACCGGAAGTCGTGTCGCCGCCTTCTCCGATGCTATTCGTTTACGAGATCGTCAATGTATTATATCCGGAACATCAGTATCTATGTACTGTACAATGAGAGATACTTTTAGCGTGGCTTTAAAGCTGCGCATATTTTCCCACTCGCCTACGAAGGTCACTAAAACGATCAGAACTATGGTCGATGAATTACAATTCAGTGTTAGAGATCCTACTGGGGCCTAACTGGGTTAGGGTTCCTAGTAACAATCTGAATAGTATGAACTGGTTGGGAAGAACACGAGGTATGATAAGTCACTTGTCACTAAGAACTATCAGTCCAATAGTTAACATGAGTTGGCTACGAAGAGAGTGTAAGCTATCTGGGGGTAATGAGGGTGTATATATAATGCCCATGCTCTGCGCGCT